GGGGGGGGGGGGGGGGGGGGGGGAAGGTATCATAATCAAGGGGACAGGTATCAAATTTAAATATTCAGAAGACTACTTCTGAAGAACCAAATTGTGTAGTCATGATATTTGCAAGTACCTTTCTGGCATGCAGTGTTATAAAATATTCAAAGTTTTAAACATTTTCTTCAGGTTAGTAAGTATGGATTGTGAAAAGATTCATGTAGCACAAATAAAAAGTTGTCCATGAATCGATGTCGATTCGGTGAAGCTGTAAGCATATATAGAATTAGTTGTTATATATGTACCAAAATTACTTGATTCAGCTATGCTTTGTTAAATACTTGGTCATAGATGTGCGAGAGTCTTTGAGCCCCAGAACTGGCCTACTATGCTGTTACCGTATCGACATCGATTTGTAGACAACCTGTACATATTTTACACCTTTGTGTACATACAGTCATTTGTCTGATGAAGCTTAAGGTGACAGAGTACATACCGTACTAGTCATTGAAACCTCACATAAACACTTTTTGGTTTTGCTACATGAATCTTTTCACAACAAAAATATTCAAAGGTTTTTTAATGAAAGTGACCCTGACTCAAACATAAGTTCAAGGTCACAGGGGTCAAATATAAACAAAAAAGTCATAACAAGTCATTCTTAAGAATCACAAGCCCTAGAGTCATGATATTTTGGCTGTAGATTGCTTGCATGGAGTGCTAAAAATTTGTGACAGAAGTGACCTTGACTCATATTCAAGGTCATAAGGATAAACACTCAAATAATTATTCTGAAGAACTGTAAAGCAGTCATGATATTTGTTCTCGAGCCTGCTGGTATGGTGACTCCTTTTGAAGAATGGAAATGCCTAGTGACATATGTGGCCAGTACTTTGGTGGCATCATACATCACAAACTTGAAATGTTATAAAGTTTGTGAAAAAAATACCTTGACCAGTATTCAAGGTCATAGGGGTCAAATTTGAGACACACTCAAATGATTTCTTAAGAATCAAAATATCTTTAGTCATTATGTCTGGCAAGTTGAAGTAACTTGCTAAAATGAAGTGTTTCAATAACCAGCAAGACCAGTCAATCTGGAAACTTTGCACACATTTAATCATACATTGTTTGTTTATAATGTAAAACTTTGATAGAACATATTTCCAAACTGATGAATTTTATCGAAGAAATTGATCTAGAAATTTAACCTGGCAACACAAAGGACTTGTATGTTACACTATTAAGAACATGTTAGTCATGTATCACTTGATAACTCTTTACAGGTTTACTGTGATAATTCAGTGTATATTACATCAGTACTTCTGGTATGTACATTGTAGATAATGCACTTCATTAATAGGTGTGAACAAGAATAGAAAGTGTATCAGTACATTTACTACTTTTATCTCTTGTTGCTAAGAAAACACCATAAAACAAGATTAACTATAATATACAAGTAATGCCCTGAATTATTTGTTTACTTATTGATGTCTTAGAGATCAATAAAATAAGGTTATCTTGGATAACATAATTTATGCCATCCATGGTGTTATTGATGTTATAATAAATATGACCTGTGAACCAATATGTGAAGTGATATCTCGGTCCATAACCTTGCTAACAGTTTATGACCAACAGTTTTGTAAGTGCTGTGTCTTCTTATTGCAAAAACCATGCATTGTATATTGGTTTTCTCTTTACTCTGGTCCAGTTTGAAGACAAGATGATTCATAAATATTTAGTCGGGTAACAGTTCTTTCACAAGGCACCAACCAAGTTGAAAGTTTTTTATGACTGAAAAGATTGGGAATGGGGACATATGAGAAATTATTTTTACCATTAAATTCATTTATAAAATGAAAGAGCTAAGTAAAATGGGGAAGAAAATGTTTTCCTCTCGTAACAAAGTACAATATTTACCGCTCTATGGCACTACCACTTTTGACCGTACCAAATTCAGATGGCATTCATATCAACCATGACTGCCATGACCTACCTTTTGTGGTAATCACAATTACTGATATGTAGATGTAATAATATGTCCCATTCATCAAACAAGCGTTCATGTACTTACCAGTTAATTGAATTTTTCATTAAGATTGAAATAATTTTCAAAATAGTAAAAAGAACTTTAAATTGTCATTTATAGTCAATATGAATGCCAACTGGAGCATGACAAAATGAACATGAAGTGCTAGCACAACAATGCTTAAATATTCTACAATGTTACAAGTTTAAGTCCAATGCCAAGTGATATCATCAATATTTCACTGTCATGTATTAAATATAAAGCCTTATTGATATTCCATAAACACCCCCAGTGGGGGAAAAAATCCTTATTTACATCAATTGTGCAAAGTCAAACAGCTTTCACCTCTCATGTTCTTTGTTCTTTGTTTTACATACATGGGCTTAAGGAGTCCAGTACCGCTGCAAAGAAATGTAAAATGAATTGGGACCTTTTTCTCTGTCATGATTTGAGCTTTGGACCATTTTTGAAAACAAAATATATACTTTGCGGAATTTTCATGAAGAAAAAAATGAATAGATAAATACAAATTGACCCAACTATGCAGGGCCAGACCAGTATTGAAACCTTGACCAGTGAAAATCATTATAAGGTTGTTCTAGCCAACTACGCTACCTGAGTGGTCAACAACAGTACATGTACACAGGCCAATACAAAATATGTACAAAACAAAATTAAGGGATGGATACTGTACGAAAAACTACAGTAGAATTCCCTGGTGTTTTAATTTAGGCCAAAAAAAATATATAGTCTGTTTAGGGTTGCATTGGCAAAAAACTAGGGTAGGTGGGTTGGATTTTTTTTTTTTTTTTTTTTTTTTATATATTTTTGGTCATGTAATTATGACCCTACTATTGTATGTAAAATAAAGAATTAGATAAACAAGGTTCATTTGGAGGCAAATTGTGCTCCATATGATGACATTTAGCGCTAACACAGAGCTGGAAGCCATTTTGAAAGGCAAGGAACCTTCTAAAATTCGAAAATCAGCATTTTTTTATTTTTTTTTCATCAAAAAGTTTTGGGTCGGGGGTAAAAAGCTAGGGTCAGTTGGGAACCCTAAACAGACACCTCTTTTTTTGGCCTTAGCAGCAGTGGGACCGGTATCCTTAAACGTATAATTGTACAAAAAGACTTGACCTGTATACTCTCAGCTTTTATCATATACTGTTACCAGTATTGACATTACAGGATTTCAACAAATTCCTATCTGACACCACTAACTCATCAATATAATTTTTTTCATCAAATATTGCATAGAAAATCTGGCCAGCTGTTTCTTGATGAGTATATTTCCAATCTCACCAGTGTACCTGGGTACTTAAGCTTGTTGACAGTTAAAACAAAAGGATTGCCCTTTTACCTAAAAATATTTAACACAATGCATAATTGTGCCTGCAGCTTTGTTGTAGATAGCAGTAAGCAAATAGTTGAGTGTATTCTCTAACCACGATAATCAATGCAAAATGAAGTATTCATTATACCTTTCCTTTTGCTGGGTTACCTGTATGTAAGTGCTGCTTGGTATCATAAATTATTCAGCGTGCATTTCTTCACCACAACGACTTTACAGACCCGGTTTGTCAGAGACAATCGTTGGTCGGCACGTCCTCCAGGTGTTCATGATCATGGCCCTCATCAAACACTAATCACAATGGATTTTAGGATATAAACATTGCAGTTCAACCTTTTTTATCAACATTTCTTTTTTGAGAAAATGGACCTAGGTAAGTCATCTATCTGACAGGAGCCATTTTGAGTGATAACTGAGCTTTATTGTTAGAAACAATAAACAGTCTGACTTCATTCTGCAGATTTTGTAGAATGTTTGATAAAATTAATGTGAAAAGAAACTCTGGTGGCAGCTCTTTGGGAGTTAAATTTATAATGTAGGGCCCATGCATGTAACAAGGCATTAAATGTTCGCATTGAGTATCACTTATATTTTTGAAAGAGATTTATAAAAACTTTACAGAAAATCAACGATATTTCTTATAAATTTGAAAAAAAAAGATTATTTGAGAAAACCAATTAAAAAAATAAATGTCAACAGATTACATTGTACCTTGTGGAGGGTAAAACTACCAACAACAGTAGTTTTGGTAACTCAGATTCATCCATAGCAAAGCCTTATCAAAACATGTTTTAACAACCTTTTTTTTAAGGCTATTTTGTACAATGAATTAAAACTAGCTATAGACATTCAAAATTTCTTTGCAGATGTTCAATAGAAGAATTGATTAACATTAAATATGTAGAAAGGCAGTATTTGTGAAAAATAATACTAGGATGTAATGTCTTTATTCAGGACACTTGTTCAGGAAAGCAATTTAAAACAGCAAATTTTCCATCGCATTTCAACAATTTTGAAAATTTTATGATGCAATACCTATAAATTTGGAAACTGAGAAACAATCACTACTTTGAGCTAAAACCAAAATTACCAAATACCTCCAGTAAAACAGTTCTTGCCCAGAATGCAACTTCTGATGGAAATGTGCAGTTTGGTTTGTGAAAATAATGTTACAGATAAAAGTGGTTTTTTTATCCGAGTCGGCATGGGAGTGGTCATGGGCGCCAGTGTAACAGAGGTCGCCTTTAAAAGTGCCTCTGATATGAGTTGTATACAAGAGAACAAATAACTGTTCCATTTTTCTACCAATTGATCTGCAAAGAAATAACCTCCAGCCAAGTCACAGTCGACTGGATGGTGGTTCACTGCTGTGACATATTAAGATAAATACTAGTCTGCCTCACAATCAACCAAACATATGGCTTTCTGCTGATCAATCTCATAAAGGTATACGCCAGAATCCCCCAAAGGAAGATTTTGATGTCGTGTCTGTATTGTTTCAAATAAACCACATCCTGATCTGCAACTTTTTTTTTTACGGAGAATTTTATTTATTGCAGTGTATCGTTTGAGTCACTATCGATTTTGGTGCACAGAGGAGAAATGTTGCATGTAGAATTATTGCATGTTATTTTTTGACATCTTAATAGCTTTATTGCTCGTATATATTTCAGTGATTCCCTGAGAAAGTGACATTGAGGCTCATGTGTAATACACCAGGGTTATATACATTATGTAATATTTACATTAAAGCCAGGAGTGGTGGACCCAGATCATTGTACGTTGTATGGTAAACTGTTCCCAGGGCCTATCTGACTTTGGAAAGGCTTAGTGTGTGTTTCTGTTGGTAGATTGTAGAAATAAATTTCATATTTACCTTGTGGTTTGTGTTAACTTGGCAGTTCACAGTTTTCTAGCATGGTACAAAGCAATTAAAGGCACAGACTTATTTGGGAAGTTTGAGGGTCTTTGGTCTTTTATTTCGGTAGGAAAGCAATATCATAATGTTAGTCCCTTCATACAAATCAATTTAAGGAGGGAAGGATAAAGATATTACACAATGCCTGTTTCTTTATTTGTCACATTTTCTTAATGTTGCTATATTTTTATTATGAAACTCTAAAGTAAGAATATGAGCACTGTGATGAAAATGACTCCCAATGCCCATACCCCAATGTCAGTGCAAGGTCAAGGTCATATCAAAGGCTTCAATGTCAGATGATTGTAATGTTTGTCCGGGCCATTATGTCTGAATGGCTAAATATATTCTGAAGAATTGTCTTGGTTGTATTTATCATGACTGGATTATGTGTCACATTATCAATGGCAAGGGGTCAAAGGTCAGATCATTCTCATTGTTTTGGCTATGATCATTTCACGGAAATTTCTTAATGGATAGACTGTTTCATGTGCTTTACTTTGCAATGCTTCAGAATGCTTGTTCTAGAAGGGAGCAGTTGTAGCTTTAAAAAAATTATATGGTTTCATGTAATTGACAAAATATATCAATTTACATAAATACAGTGTAGATATTGAACATTACATACTTAGTATATGATGGATCTGTACTGGGTTGGATAAGTCAGTAGATAAGGAGTTCATCTAGAGTTGAGAGGAATCCGGGTTAAAGTCTTAGTCAGGCCTATTGTCATTGATTCAGTGACAATATTGTACAATATATCAAGGAAAGAATTGTAGCGTAAAAGGACCATTCCAACTTATGTTTGTGTTTTAATGTGTGTGTACATGTCATAAATTGTTTAAAATGCTTTGCCGGACTTCCTTAAGTTTTTAAACTTAAAAGGCTTGGCCTGCTGCTGTATTCCAATGCATGATCGTATGAGGCAGCTATTATAAGGATTCCTAAAGAGTCAGAGTGTTCACCTGTTCCCTCAAGACGGAATCAAAATTGATCTAAATGTTCTGAAGCAGCAGTTGGGATGTTTTCTTTCTCACATCTGTCTGGCATGTCTCTTCCTTAGCAATGTCTCCTGAGGCATATTTTGTTATCCTGTCGTCAGAATGTGTTGGGGAATCATACTACAGTGTCGGGGCCGCAGTGGCCTAGTGGTTAAGACGTCTGACATTCTGCTACCACTAGCCCTTTACTACTGGGTCGGTGTTTCGAGACCTATATGGGGCAGTCTCCAGGTACCGGTTGAAGGTCGGTGGTTTTTCTTCGGGAACTCCGGCTTTCCTCTTCCTCCACCAAGATCTGGCACATCCTTAAATGACCATAGCTGTTGATAGGACGTATAAAAAAAAAACGAAACAGGGTCCAAGTTACAACTCTTTAGTGTGATGCCTAACTTACTAAAAAAATAGTGAATAGTGTTACACTCTATCAAAAATCAAACAGAAATGTTATTTAATTTTCGAATTCAAGAAGACACTCAGTAAACCTTGTGTCTTTTGAAATTTGAAAATTAATTAATTGAAGTTAGTTGAGTGGTTAACAGCCATCACTTAGCATAGAATCTCTTACTGCTACAGTCACTTGAGTATTCAACTCAAATCGGAGCATTAAACATCACACAGGGAAGTATAAAATTATGTCATTCACCAAAGACAGAAATGTTTCATATAGAAAGTTAATACTGTCAGCATGCACAGTAAATATGGAGACATCACTTAGGTTTTCATAGCCTGACAGAAAATGTCCCTGTTTGTAAAATACAATGTATATATACAATGAAATCTCTTTTGAGATATGAATTTCTATTATCTGACAATTTGCCATATCACCTCTGGACAACTTTGTAAACTTATTGCCTTTTGTTGTTTCAGAATTTATTTCGTCAACATGGCTGCTTAGAGAAGCTAAGTAAGTTACTAAGATCCCAGAGTATGTCCTTGAGACATGGGGTCAAGTCGTCTCGGGAAGTTGTGAGCTCGGTGGCTACTGCCATCACCAATCTCTCGGCCAACACAGAAAATCACAAAAACCTTGAGGTAAGTATACCAACAGACAGGAAGCTTAAGGGAGTCTTGTTACTTTTTGTTTGGGAAAATTGCACTGTGATTATATAGTGCTCTATCTACATCTTTGAAGTCCAAGGATTTCGCTCTTAGTTTCACACACCTTCTCTATGCCCTTGAAATATGTCATGGCGAAATATTAAAGGCTCTGTACGGGCCATACATCGGTTGATATGAGTAACTAATTTTATCCTTTGATGTTCATTTAAAGAATCACGATGCTGCATAAGGTTAACTTGACCAGCACTAAAGTTAGGTGTTGTTCATATATGCAATCTAGCTACAAAGAACGTGGATCAGCCTAGCGGCTGGTCAGATTTGCTTTACCTGAACCAATCAAATAGCTAGTCACTTGCCTTTGACTTTGCCATGTTATATTCCAAGGAGATAGAGAAGATATGTGTTTCAAGAGTGAAACTTTGGATTTCAAAATGTTCAGAAAATTAAAACGATGTCCAAGATTTCAGCCAGCACATATACTTTACAGCCAGTTTCACACATGCAGAAATTGGCTCCTGTAGACTAGATAGTATTTTTTGTAATTTGTCATAACACAATATTATGCTATACACACTGGCTGACTATCTAGGATGTCAATTTCTCTCATTTCCGTGTGTGTAAGATAGAGCTGTCCAGGGTAAGAAAGGGATGTAGGAAAATTCTATCTTACAACCCATTTCACGTGAAGTGATGTCACAATGGCTCAACAATGACGTGACGTCACGAATTTGGAACTCTCTGATGCTGCAATGCGGAAAAGGCGACGTGATGGAATTAAAACCTTTTACGATATATTTACCGTACATGTTAGAAAGATGCGATTCATTTTCTGTGCAAAGATCATTTGCAGATATCTGATATGTTTTCATCTTAAATGTTCAGGGAAAAATCGATATTTTCAAAATGGTGGCCAGTCCAAATGCATTTTCATGGTTTCTTAGCTTATTCTGATGGTTGGAATGAGAGAAAAAATACTCTTTCATGTCCAAGGGTGTAGGGTAAGGAAATTTGACCATCAGGATTTTCAAATTTGGCAAAACCCTCGGCACAGCCTCGGGTTTTTACCAAATTTGAAAACCCCTTGGGTGGAATTTCCCTATCCTAAACCCCTGGGCATGAAAAAGTCTTATAATATCGTACAGCTTGTACTCTGATATTCTGTCTCTACAGGGATGTGTACCCACTCTGGTGGAGCTGGCAATGCAGGAAAGCTCTGAGCAGGAGACTGTATGTCCTCAGTTCTCAGCGTGTTTCTAAAATCCACTTTTTCCATATTTTGTGTGGACATGGCTGAATTACTTGTTTTGCCTGCCACATCCAGTGTTCTCAATGGTACTGTGTGCTCCCGTGCCTTTGACTGCATACAATTTTATTTGCTTTTCCATTACAAAACAAATTGTTTTATTATATATTCCACAGCCAGTGCAAGCTCTTGTGTCCTTTTTTTAGCTCACCTGGCCCAAAGGGCCAAGTGAGCTTATCCCATGGCGCAGCGTCTGCCGTCCGGCAACTTTTTCCTTTAAAACGCTACTAGTCCTGAACGGCTCAGATGATTTTGACCAAATTTGGTCTGGAGCATCATTTGCCTAAGGGTTCTCAATTTTGTAGAAACAGGGTATGGTCTCCCTGGGGGCAGAGGGGCGGGGCCAAATAGGGGGAAAATAGGTAAATCTTGAAAAATCTTCTTCTTCTCAACCAATAGAAGGATTTTGACCAAATTTGTCCTAGAGCATCTTTGGACAAAGGAGACTCAAGTTTGTATAAACGGAGGGTGTGGCCCCTCTGGGGGCGTGGCCAATAGGGGAAATAGAGGATTTTTTCTCTCCTACTATACAAGTGACGGGATTTAAACTAAATGCAGTCTGAAGCATGATTAGGGACAAAAGAATCAATTTTGTATAAGCTGAACAGAGGAAAACATCAAAGATCCTTCTCCTTTTGTACTGATGTAAGGATTTTGACCAAATTTGGTCTGGAGCATCATTGGCCAAAGGGTTCTCAGTTTTGTATAAACGGAGGGTATGGTCCCCCTGTTGGCAGAGGGGCGGGGCCAAATAGGGGGAAAATAGGTAAATCTTTGAAAATCTTCTTCTCAACCAATAGAAGGATTTTGACCAAATTTGTTCTAGAGCATCTTTGAACGGAGTGTGTGGCCCCTCTGGGGGCATAGGGGCGGGCCCAATAGGGGAAATAGAGGAAATTTTTTTTCCTACTATACAAGTGAAGGGGTTTAAACCAAATGCAGTCTGAAGCATGCTTAGGGACAAAAGAATCAATTTTGTTTAAATTGAGGTGTGTGGACCTCCTTCTTTGGGGCAGATGAGTGGGGCCCATTAGGGGAAATAGAAGAAAACATTAAAGATCCTTCTCCTTCTGTACCGTTGAAGGGATTTTAACCAAACGTGTTCTAGAGAATCTTTGGGCAAGGGAAATTGAATATTTATAAATGGAAAATGTGAAGCATGCTTAGGGGAAAAAAACTCAATTTGTTTAATTTGTATAAAAAGGTGCATGTGAGGCCCAATAGGGAAAATAGAGGAAAATTGGGACATAACATGGAAACTCATTTTCTTAGTGTCTTTCCCACCAAAACAGATTTATATGTAGTTCTTCTTGCAATTTTGTTTCTTTTACTCCTTTGACAAACCTGTATGGTACTCAGCAGGTTTTAAATTGAAAAATAAAATACCGGGTGAGCTATTAAGGCCTCTGGGCCTCTTGTTCCATTTTGTTATAGGCAGCATAGGCTTCGAGAAATGTGCGGTTGAGCAAACTAAATCAATCTTCTTTATTTATTGCATGGTGTTTGTAATGAACACATATTCTAATACAATTGAAAGTGCTAGCTTGACTGTACCCAGTGTTTTTTTATGCTCCCTGAAAACATAAGTTAGATTAAGCTTTTTATATTTTACGACAATTGTGAAACAAGTTCTATCAACCTATACATGATGTATCAATCATTCCTCTTGGCCAAGATGGTAGCGCACAGGGGGTATTAATGTGGGAGGAGTACCCGGAGAAAACCCACGTGGTCGGGCAGGTGATCCAATACCTTTCACTTCAGATTGATTGTAGGCAAGTGTGCTTGCTATCCACTGTGCCACCGGGCCACCCTAAACAATGTAACTGGTATAATAATTGCTTTGTCAGTTCATGTCTATATATCTAAAACAAATGGTTTCCAGATCATCACTTTGAAAAATTATTTTTTAAGAAAATGTTGGTTTCTGGATGGTATCGCTTGTATAACATCAGATCTAAACCAAAATTAGGAGGATGTTGTCTTGGAAGAGAAATATCTCAAGTGACAAGTTAGGGTCAAGGGGCTATATATACACTAGTTTCTGTTATATATTCGTTTCTAGAATCTGAACGACTTTTTATGTTTCCAGGCACTTCATTAAAGGCATATGCTTGTAAACCAGGAGTGTATTCTGGTAGCATGTGTTGGTTCTACCAACTAATTTTCTGTGTTTTCTAACTTTTCTTCTCCCTTAAGCGTAAAAAAACCTGTACTCAATAATTTCCCTGATCTCTTAGTATATCAGTTTGATCAGTATGTCCTAGTTTTACTGTTGAAATTCTGTATGCCCTATTAATTCCTATCACCAAAATAATAATAAAGCCCCCCTGTTTACAAACAAAACTGTAAGCTAGTTTTACAGGTGTACCCATGTATGCATTACAACATTTTCCCCCAAATTGGTATATTTAGATCATTTTGAGATACATATGGTTGGTTTTACAGTGACGTAACAGCCATGTTTTATGTTACAGTCGTGTGTGCCCACCCTGGTGGACCTAACGTTGGAAGATGAGACGGGAGAAAGTGTATGTCTGTCGTCTCTGCAGGCCCTCACCAACCTGTCTCTGACCGACCAGTACCATCGCCACTACACCCGTCTCATCCAGAAACTCTACGACCTGCTGGATACAAATCAACACAACATACAGCTCCAAGCACTGAAGGTCCTAGTCAACCTGTCCTGTAGTACAGAGATGGTTCCTCACATACTAGCTGCCAAGGTAAGGACTATAGTTTACCCTACATAATGGTCTCAAGGTTAAGTACTGTACTTACACAGGTCTATAGTTAACCCTACATAATGGTCTCAAAGGTAAGAAATGTTACTTACACAGGTCTATAGTTTACCCTACATAATGGTCTCAAAGGTAAGAAATGTTACTTTCACAGGTCTATAGTTAACCCTACATAATGGCCTCAAAGGTAAACAACTGTCACATGTATAGGTCTATAGTTTACCCTACATAATGGCCTCAAAGGTAAAGAACTGTCACATGTATAGGACTATAGTTTACCCTACATAATGGCCTCAACGGTAAACAACTGTCACATGTATAGGTCTATAGTTTGCCCTATGTACTGACCACAGAGGTACTGTTACCTACATAAGGCTGTGTTAGTTCCCCACGTGATATAAGGCATAAAATCTGTCTTGTCCACCATTTTTCCAAGTTAAACATTTGAATTGTATTGAGTAATATGCTGGGTATAGTGTATACATATTTGTGTTTGTATAGGCGCCAGGCTGCCTGTTGGAGCTGCTGAAACAGGGATCAGATGAGGCCTTGATCCTCCGTATGACCACTTTTCTTGCCAATATTCTACATACTGTGCGAGAGGAGAACCTCTCCGTGTCATCCCTCCCGCCCGACGATAAGGCTCCAAGCCCTGAGACGATGTACTCAGCACTCTACAGCATGAACAATGTGGGTGCTATCAAGTCCAAGGTCTTCCTCCTGTGTCGCCATAGGAACGAAGACATCAAAGTACAGGCCACCAGGATCTACCAATCAATCGCAAAGTGATCGTCATAGCCATTTTCATATTTATCATCAGATAAATTGTGTCATTACAAAGTCTAGTATGATCATGTACATCATAAGTTGAAGCATGCAAAGATCTACAGTACAATGTACCAATGTCAGGTAAAGTAAGTCTACTTTTGGCATGTACATTGCCATAGCATACTTAGATTTACAATTTTCATGTAATTCTTGCCCCAATCAAAATTACAGTTTCAAATGTTTTGTTCAATACTTGAATCTCCAAGCACTTTTACTCTTTCATGATTTCAAAATCATGATCTTAATGGAAAGTAATCCAATTTTTGCAAATCAAAATACATGCTTAATATCTTCTGAATATTCAGTACAGTTTTAAGGGGGTTTTATGGTATCGGTGTTTTTGAGGTTATGAGGTTTGTTGTAAATACCGTGAAACTTATAATGAATATAAAATCACCACCAGATCATCACATTATGCCTGGAAGTTAACTCCATCAAATGTTTTATTATCACCTAATTCTTGTGTATGTATTCAGTGATATCAATGAACTCTCTCTTGTGTACCGTTTAAATGGTCATTTACTTCTGTGTACCTTTCAAATGTGTCATCAAGTCTTGTGTACCTTTCAAATGTGTAAACACTTCTTGTGTACCTTTCAAATACCATGTCATCAAATTATTTAGGTCCTACCGTAATTACGGTTCTGTTAATTAGTTTACACAAGACTGTCGACTCAGCACTCATTATTTTAAGGGTTTATTAGTTCAGATAAACTTAAGATTTAGTAGTACTATTTTTAAAATGATTAAATCAGAAAACAAAAACGTTTCTTTCCTTAATGTAATTCATCACTTAAGATAATATTCACAAAATATGCATAGCTCCAAAAAATATTTTGGAACAAACTGAATTTGAAGTTTTACTTAACATGTGTTTAAGTTGTAATGAGGGGAGAACACTTCTTGGTATGATAGAATAAATCAATGTTTATACATCAGTGTACTTCAGTTCATCTCAAAGTTTATTGATTTGTCTTTTCAGCATTGACCCATTTCATTTCTTTGTGGTAACTGTTTTCTAGTCATTTACCAATTAAGTCATTGCCATTTGCCTCAAAATAATTGGGTATCACCCTCAAAGTTTAACTTGCTTGTATGTGAAAACATTAATGTCTGGTAAAACAAAATAGTCCTGAAATGATGTATAAAGAAACAAAGTCAGAGATTTGATGTTCTAGCCTAGTCTTTCTTAACAATGCTACCTATTACATTTAATTCAAGCATTTTACAGTATACAGAATTTGTGATTGTGTAGCGGAACTGGACTGGGTCGATCATCCGTGACCAGGTAGCTCAACTGGTGGAGCATCCATTCAGAGTTTGGAGGGTCGAGGGTTAGAGTCCTGGTCTGGCCGTGTATTTCTCTATCTCCTGTTACATTTGTAACCTGATACATAGTACATTTAATATTCATTCAGTCCAATGATTATAACCTGTAATAACATTTTTGCCGCGGATCTTTCAAAACAAGTTACACTATTGTTGATTGTTATCAGCAGTTTTTGGTGGTTTGTTTTTTTAATGTTTACTGGACTTCACTTGTGGTGGAGAGTAAATGTATGTTCCTCATGGTATTACATAGTAAGTAGCTAATATTTGGCTTTGCCCTCTCGCCAGAACCTTTGGAGTGGATGACGAATTTGCCTTCCATTCATAAATTTAATAATGAATTCTGGGTGGAGGTAATCAGGAAGGTTTCAGCTCTCAGAGTGATAGATTCAGCTTATAATATTTTTCAAATCCTTAATTGAAATTTTTGTATTTTGAGTCCTGAAAGACTGTACACCATTTATTTAGTCAGCCAGGTGCAATTGAGTATGATAATCTAGCAGCCACCACTAATCCCAAGTGTCCAGCTATCCAGCAACCACTAATATCCCAGTGTCCAACTTTCCAATTACATCACTAATCCATCCAACACTACTGACTAATCAATTGTCTCATAATTATCTGGTCTTCACTAATCCCAATGTCCAGTTATCACCATCCAGCCAGTGTTTAAGAGGACTAGATTGGCTCTTTCTAGTATCAAACTGTCTCCATAGTCCAACCATCTCCCAACCCAGTCGAAACATAGATATATATGCATAAACGTGTATATGCCGGTAGTGCTAGAAAAGATATCGATGTTGGCAATTAAGGTAACTAAGACACCTGGTGTGTAGGGACAGACATCCTATAGTGATTTATGTTTGGGTACTGTAGTTGTGTGTATCAGCACTTTAAGTACTTCATGGTACTACAGGATATCATTATGAGTGTAAATGGAATCTCAAGGAGGTCTTGTAAATATGCCTAATAAAGTATTTAATATACATTTTTGTATGTACATAAGTTTAATCAAGAAATACATTGTGTCAATTTGATTGATTTTTTTTGTGGAATGACTTGTTTAAATCGTTAAGTTATGAATATTCAATATTTGTAAATATAAATTTGTCGTCCCAAAATCAAACTAACTGCACCTGTGAAATCAAAGCTGACATATGTTACTTTTGTGTTGATGAACTGCTGGCAATCAAAGAGAGTTTACAAGAATATTGTTTTTGAATCAAAATACCTATATGTGAGACAGCCTCAGTTCTTTCATGTCCCTAATAACTTTTTAATTAGTTTTTGTATAATAATCAGTATAACAATCAAAGTACACAAACTTTTTAAAGGACAAAATACATGAATTTATTTAAAACATTTAAGTTTTGTTTTGAATATTTGGTAGATGTCTATTCACCATTCCAATCCAAAAACACCATTCCTAGTTATTTTTGCAACTAGATACGTTGCATTTACTCTTTAAACAGAAACATCTTATTTTAAGCTTTAGGGCGCTGTCTCAATTCAATGATGTTGAGGAAGTCAGCAGATATATTACCTACTTAGTCCCAGGTTAGCTTTAATTCTTAATTTTGTGTTTTATCAAAGATCATTCTTAACAATTGTTTGTTATTGTGTGTTGCTAACAGGCTATTTCATTTGATAATTCATTTGCAAAATTGTGTCAGCATAAACGAATAAACCATCTCTGGCAAAGATAATTGCCAGAAAAGATGTTTTGCAGTGATATGTTGGATTCTATGTGAAATTGTCCATAATGAACAGAATAATATGAACTCATTCACCCCTGAAGACACATTTGAACTCTTCCAATTCAAAGGTTGGAATAGTTCATTAAGAAATTTCAGGTGTGAATGAGTTAAAATAAACAAATGTTACAGATGTATGTGTTTGTTAATATGCATGATATAGAAGGACATGAGTTGTTTATTATAGAATGTCCTGCAATTTCAAAATAATTGTAACAAAATTGTGAAGCTTGTTAAATTGATTGTACATACAATTTAAAAAAATATTGTGAAGAAGAAATATTTAAAAATTATTATGACTTTAAAAGCATTATTACAGAAAAAATACATTTCTGTGAATCTGATATGCAACACTTTTTGGAAAGTTATGTTTATAGATTTTTAGATATTTAAGGTAAAGCATGATATATCATTAATTACAGACACCATACCTCATAAAACCATGTTATGTGCTCAGACCACTTGTAATAACTTTCACAGGCATTTTCATGAGAATGGTACTCTATAAACCTTGACAAAGAACCTACAAACTTTTTATAATATGAAATTTAAAATATACTTTTTCATTTTAATTTGGAAATGATCTACAGCACAGAAGCTGAATTTAGTGTCTGATACCAGTTTAAGGAGTATGGGGCCTGGATTAATTTGCTCACAGCCTGATTGACTAGTGAGAACATTGATCATTTATATTGCATGTTTTCAGAAATCCTATTACTAATACAGTCAATATCATATGACATTTTGAAAGAGTGGTGTTTTATATAGATATGAGTTACCTACTATTTAGTCTAAGTTATGAAGTTGTTCAAAGTCTTCATTACTTGGACTAAATAAAATAGTAGGTTGTTATACTGATAATGTAGATTTTTTCCCATAATTATATTTGACAGTTGTATTTTCAGAAATTTTTAAGACTTGTTTCTTTGTCAGACTACATAACTTTCCTTAAAATTATGCTCAAGTCTATAATTATTATATTCTTACCTATATATTCTTATATGCAAGATTACAATATTGTCGTAGGAGTCAGTGTGGTTAAAAGAGCACCTGTTATCGTCCTTAGGAATATATAGTAATTAATGTCATGAACATACAAAACAAACTAAAATTATGTTAATAGTAGTACATAGTAACTGAATTACATAATCTAGTTAAAACAGAAAATTAAAGCAATATATGTCAGCATTTAGGCACTAAAAGGACAACTTAATACCAAGTCTGTTAGTATCTACCTGTATAACTGTACATATGGTCACTAAGTTACCTCAATAATAAGTTGTACAATAATAAAACACTTATAAAAATAACACCAGCAATTCCTATATCTGCAAAAATAAGCATGGGATTTTGTTGATAGCTCGGGAAAGCAATCTTCATTCTGATAAAGGTAATGAAATCTGTTCATAAAAGTACCCACAGATTTTTTTGCATCTGTGTGAAATAAACAACATCCTTTAAGCAATGCCCGTTTGCATTAACACTTTGCGTGAGTTCTAAGTTGTGAGGATAAATGGTCCATCCTACTGTCCCAGCAGAGAACATTAATTAGGACTCACAATGTTGACATACTGTAATCTGGAAATTTTCGCTGCAGTTTAATTTTTTTCGTCCTCTGTAACAAGGTTGAATTTATCACGACAGTGTAAATCAGTATATGGTACACCATATATAGTCACTACATGTGAAGGGTGAAAATTAACACTCGCAAATATAGATTTCACCAGTGAAGGGTGAATGATTATATGACTAGTGGAAAGTTTCTCAGGATAATCATGTCAGAAAAAGGCTTGTTATAGAACAGTTAAAACATTTTTAATGAAACTTAAGGAAAGTGCTGATAAATAAGAAAAAGGAAATCCTCTTTAATATATGTATTTTATCAAACTGTAGGAACTAGAAAGAGATGAAAGGTTGTTTGGTTGTTGTTTAGACATTAAATGTTGGTTGTAAGGAGAGAGTAGAGGAAGTGTGTGCATTAGTAGAACTGGGTGAGGACTGAAAGTTTTGAAGAATTCATTGAAATCTGTTTCTTTTTGTTTTGACTTGTTTGCTAATAATTATGTATTGGATTGTTTGATTAAAAACAATTTTAAAAATTAGAAACCTCTGGAATATTTGTTTTTTTTACACATCAAACTTTGATTTTTTAACCTACAGAAAAGCCACACCATTACACCCATCCAAACAAAAAGCCCTTAATAAGTGGGCAAAAAAAAAAACAACATAAGAATTTGTTTAGGTCACCTGCTCAAGTGACCTATTGCTATCCGTTTTCGTCCGTCGTCCGTCGTTCGTTAACATTTTACATTTCAAACTTAAAGTCAAGTTCTGCTGGGCTGATTGAACTGAAAGTTGGTAGGAATGATCGACTCATGGTCCTGACAAAGTGTTGTTATTTTTCGGGTCGATCAGAAATTCAATATGGCCACCACAGCTGTCATTTTGAAAAACTATTTAAAACTTAAAGTAAAGTTCTACTTGGCCGATTGAACTGAAACTTTGTAGGAATGATCGAATCATGGTCCTGACAAAGTGTTGTTATTTTTCGGGTCAATCAGAAATACAATTTGGCTGCCATGGCCGCTATTTTGTAAATACCTTTATCAAACTTAAAAACAAGTTCTAATAGGTCGATCTCACTGAAAATCGGCCTAGGAATGATCAGCTCATGGTCCTGACAAAGTTAAGTTAACATTTTACTTAACTATTTTTTACTCAAATTGGTACATATTTCAACAACAAAAATAAATACTGTAGGACTCAGGTGACCGTTAAGGCCCATGGTCCTCTTGTTTTTTTTAAATGTGACCTTTACCTGCATAACTTCTTCATTGTCAATATCAGTAGGACATTTGATAACAAACCATACCTTACTGATTGGGAAGTAGAGGTTTTGAAATACTGACCTTGAGCTTTAAGTTTTTAATGTGTTTGAACACTGTGACTTGAAAATCTTTTAAAGGGGGGGGGGGACTATAAAAGTAAATGGGCAGAGCTTATTTCAAAATGTCTAACTTTTTTAATTACAATAGACTTCAATAATTTATTGTGCTGAAATTTAACATGCATTTGCCTCAAAGTATGGTTGACATATCTGTTAAATATCCTGTTTGAAAAAAAATATAATTAAGTAGCAATTTGAAATACTAAAGTTTCAGTATTGTTTATCTGACAGTTGCTTGTTCCAAATAAGGAAAGTTGACCTTTGCTAACCCCATACAACAACATTCATTTCAATTTACAAGGTTTCCCCACATGGCAATATGATGCATACATACCTTGTAGCAAATATTTTTTCCATGACAATATTTTACAAATCTTTGAAAGGATCTCCCCATTCACCAAGAATTAATCACAAAGTAAAGTCTTTTCCTATCAAAGTACCTACAGGGCAAATATCATGACTCTTGTCTATATGGAACTTTGAAGATGTTAATTTTGTTTTATCTATTATTATACCCCCCCACCCACACACACACACACGCGCACACACACACACAACAAAGTTGGTGGGGGCTATACTGGAATCAGGTTGTCCGTCTGTGGACACAATGTAGTACCATGTACTCCTCCTAAACTACTGGATGGATTTCAATGAAATTTGTTGATTATAATCCTTGCTACTTGGAGAGGTGCGTAAAGTTCTTTTCATCGGGTTATCTCCCCTTTTCACAAAGTTATGGACCTTGGTTCATAAACCTTCTCTAGACCATGACACTGTCTAGAAAACACAAGGTTTTTTTATTCAATTACTTCCAAATTTGGTATGGTGACACTAGAAGCAATAATGTTTAACATATATAACAGGTTGTTTTTTTGTCAGGTTTCGACTTTCCACGTTTTGAAAGGTTGAGGTCACAAATGAATTACATTACTGAAATGGCTAAATATCTCAGAAACAGAAGGTATTTTGTATACACATATACATTAAAATATTGTAGGCATTCATGCAATCTACTCTACTGTCAGCTTTCGGGGTCGTGGGGTCAGAGGTCACAAGGTCACAAATGAATTACTTTACCAAAAAGGCTAATCATCTCAGAAACAGTAGGTATTTTGTATACACATATACATAAGAGTATCATAGCCAATTATGAAGGCTTTATTATGACAAACTTCCAAGGTCATGAAGTCAAAGGTCACAGATGCATTATGTTACTGAAATGGCTAATTATGGCAGAAATGGTAGGTATTTTGTATACACATACCTTGGAGTAAATGTAGCATTGATGCAAGCTACATTGTGACAAAATTCTGAGGTCATTGAGTCAAAGGTCTCAGTAGTGGTGTTTGTCGTTTCCAACGGTCTGTCGATACAACATCTGAGGTTAAACTTTTTCATGACCCTTGATCTTTCTATATATTTAGCCCCTACAGGGGCATCAAGCAGCCGGAATGAGGGGGGTATTAGCTAGACCATAGGCGGCGGTTCTAGTTGTCCATGTTGACTCTCCTTTGACCACCAAAGTCCACCTTTCTCCTCAAGAACATTCTGCATAGATTATTACTGATGGTCTACTTAACATACCTGAGTACCAAGACTATTCACATTATGGTTCTTCAGACTTTGTTTGAAAATGTTTACATACCTGGTACTTTTGTCCGACCCCTGTGACTTTGAAAGTCGCCCAAGGTCGTATATGCGAGGAAGTTTTATAGCACTCTATATCAGGTTACTACTGATAAAGAGCAAGCTTATGAAAATAAAAGTTGACAAACAGACATAATAACATAAGTTCAAGACACTTCATGCCAGAAGAGCTCAGTAAATGCTAAAATTGTCGGCCCTTCATAGGAGTGTAGCTGTACTTATTTGAGTCTTAATTTGTACTAGGTGTTTAATTATCATCAGTGAATTGCATAATATAATATCTTAAGTACATCAAACAAATTGCAAAATGTTGTTGATTTACCTTTGTACAGGCAGCCTTGCAAATGCATCTGGAATAATTCTTGAACTTCTGATATGTGCAGTTAAAATATTGCCGTGTAAGTGTGTAGACTTGAGGTATTAGTGTATACTACTCTCAGAATACATTTCACATAACATGATCTAAACAAACTGCAAGACAAGACTAAGGTTTTCTTAAAAAGTTTATTTTCTAAAACTGTTTGGTTGTAGATTTTTAATGAGGAACTTCATATGATGAGGACAGTGCCGATTTTTTACATTTTACTTGATAAGATTTACACACACACATTTCTGACAGTGATGGTACTATACACTTCTTTACAAGAAAGAGAGTTGGTGATCCCTAACTCATTCACCCCTGAAATTTCATAATGAACAATTCCTACCTTTGAATTGGAAGAGTTCAAATGTGTCTTCAGGGTTGAATGAGTTAAGGACAGAGCTGCTTGATAACACCCCAAAAACAGATTAGGCTTTTTAATCAAACATAGCTTAATATGGAGGCCTTCACCTTGCAAAACTCCTCAGACTCTATATATGTTAGTGCTTGCTTATAACTATAGTCAGAACTACAGATGGCTATTATTTTTTTAATATTGTTGTAAATTTTGTATCTGGCAAATATAGTTATGCATACAAATGGATCCAGTGAAATTATTTTTTCAATTATGGAAATTACCATAAGGCTTTAACAAAGACATGGCTGATGAAAAGACACAATAATGTACATATGAAAGAGGTTTAAAAAAAAATGTGAAAAATTCTGACTATGGACTATCATGTTAAAGGATTAACAGCATGTATCGTATACCGAAACAAAAACATCTACATAGAAAATAATCAGAGAGTGTCACACATTTGACACTGACCATCAAACATTTCACCTTCCCATATGTAAACTTGTTCCAAAGAAAATCTGAAGATAATAATCTGACAAATTTTCATATAAAATCATAAAGGGGCATAACTCTATATGTACTTCATGAGATGTGACTTAATGTGTGAAATTCTGCTCCTGCCACCACCATAAGTATGTTGGTGATCACAGGTGACACAGTAAGAAAATTATGCTCTATAGACAAACTTAGGTATCAATATATACTGGGGCACATTGGACCCAAATCAGCATGAAACACTTCCCCTCACCAAGTTACCTCTGTCTGGCAAGTTGGTCAATGTAGGTAAAAGTGTAAGGAAGTTATGCTCTGGACAAACATTGGTATAAAATGAATAAATAATAAAATGATCTTTATTGTTTGGGCAGACTATCTCGTTTCAGTAAGTGCCACTCCAAAAAGTGACATTCTGCTTTCTACAAATATGTATGTATACATGTGACATGACAAGGAAGATATTCTCTGAACCAACTATGTTAACAAAACGAGCGAAGGGCCTTAACTCTGTTTATAATAGGGCACGAGACACGGTTTGAGATTGCAACAAAAAGCCTTTCCAAGATTCAAAAATATAGCAAAGTTTGGTGAACACAGGTCAAAAAGAATGAAGGAGGTTATGTTTGATAAAAATGTTGTGGACACCCAGCCAGCCCGTCAAAGCCATACAATAATAAATCCTGTCATAGATGGCCAAATCAAAATCATTACCCGAACGCATTTTCAGAAAAAACATCTGACTACAATTTATATCCTTTTAATGTTGCAAACAAAGAAAGAACTAATTCAGCAGAACTATTTTTTGGCACATAATATCTTTTAATTATAATAATTCAAATTTCGGTTCACCTTTACTAATCAATGAAATCTATTCCAAAACAGATATCTCCTTTACAGTTACTAGAGCCTTGGTAGGCGAAAAAGATTATCTCTATTATAAACATACACAATACATGTCTCTAACGTGCACAAACGGAGGAATCATGTTTCTGTACAAACAGGTTAAAAGGGGAAAACACCTGAAACACAGATTCACAGGTAACTAATTAATACAACATATGACTAGCATCTGAGGTATCATGAGAGTATCGGAACAAATCAAACTCTGCAATGATTTGTCGTCTAAGGAATTACAAATAAGCAACATATACAGGTATATAACGTTTATTACTCTTTTTCAAAAAACTTCTTTTCTCGCATATTTTGAAAATCACTTCAGTTCATTTATGTGTTTATATATATCTTCATGATCGAAAATATCTTAGAATCCACTGTAATAACATGAGATTACTTGTGACACACAAATGAATTACAGCAATCTGAAGCTTCAATACAACTGAAACAATGGTGGCTGGATTTATGGTGCTTAATTGTACAATATTATATCTGAATTTCTGAAAGGATTTGACTGTCTAATGCATAGCTAGCTAATTGGATAATTTCATCAATTAATAAATAAAGCAAACATTCACGACATTTTTTTATCACTGATATCACAATTCAACAGTTTCACATGACCGTCACTCAGTCTCAACACAAAGTGACAATGCCAGGTCCTCTTACACTGCCCCAAGTCAGGCTGAAGTTCTAGAAGGGGAGGTAACTCTTCACTAGGAATGATAGGAATCGTCAATACATAATGCCACAATGACATTAACAAAAAACGTATGGGATTAAAGGAGAATCAAATAAAACTATGAAATCAAAACAATTAAAATATATATTATAATGTTAACAAAAACAAATGAAACATACAACAACTATCTGGTCATAATAAGATATATTGTGCAAATTACTATGTATTCTAACAAAGAAAGAACATGATTTTTGGAGACTGACTTTTACATTTACTCTACTCTAAATTTCAGTACAAACTCAAAAGCTAAGATAATTTTTATAATACTTTTTTGTAGTAAATGTTGATTACTTCTTGTCTTATTTTCATGCTACACACTATTTTTACAGTAAATGAACAAGAAAAGTACACTTTTTAGTCTTCTTAAAATGTTATGATTGGTGTTTGTAAATAAAGTTCATGAAATTGTGTCAATACATTCTCAAGTACAAGTATGTATTTTCTATACTGACTTATACATATAATTTTCAAAAAATGCCTAAAATCTTCCATTTTACTGTGATACAATGTATGAATAATCATACATGTATACCTAACATCTAATTAAAACCATGCATTTCTTCTTCATTCGGCAACACACGAGAGGGAATGACATGCTGAGACTTGGGCCGTTTTCGTTTATCCCAATTCCAAACGGCTGACCTGGTTGGACCGTAGTTGTTTGTTTATGAAATAAGGTCGGGTCTAGTAATATGATGCTGCTTTCAGGCGAGCCTGACAAAGCCTTACAAGGCTTAAATGTTTCATTTAAATACAGGCAAACTGTTTGTTCCACATAAACGAACAAGCCCCTGATTAGTTACTGTAGATGAACCGAGTGTCTGTGAATGACACACTTTCATGCCTTTCTGTTTCGGTAAATTTAACATATTGAACTAGCTCTACTCTTAATTTCAATACAATTGGCAGTTAGAATCAGTAAAAGGGAAATGTACTTAAATTTATCATTCACAGACAATGGTTGTTCACAGTAACAGCTCAGGTCACGATATATATCTACCAAAAGATTTGGGGAAAAAATCAATAAATATTTAACATATATTTTAAGTAATATTTTAAAAGAAAAAAAATGCAAGATATGAATATACAAATGCACCTACTGTGATTGTGTGAAATTTTAGAAAAGTAGCAATGGATAAAGATATTTTCTTTATTTAAAACACTATTTTTCAGCCCTTTTCAATCATTGCTTTACTGCACATTGGTGGTACAATATTGGCAGTGGTATATTTCAGTGCACAGAATCACACAGGGGAAAAAATCCCAAATATATATCCCTGTTTTCTCTCATTTTACAAAGTGACATAGTAAATTTCTGGCAAGCTTAGCATTGTTTGAACTTCTTGACTTATACAAATGTATTGACATTTTCTCTTAGCAATTCCTGTGAAATTGTGTTTATTTTAACATAGATATTATAGGTTAGCAAAAAAGTAGCACTTACTTCACAGGTATGGTATGTATTGCAGGTCGATACAAGTACTATAGGAAACTAAGTATCTATATTAACCTCAGAAATTAAAAAAAAATATATAAATACTGACAATGGCTCTTAACTGTTCATAAGATCATCTTCTAGACAACTGCATTCAGGGGCAATATTAAGTTACTGTGAAAATTATGTTTTAGACATTTTTTGTCAATACTCGTGTTGTCCAATCAAATGTGACACCAATATTTCAATTTATTTATCACTGGGTTTTTTATTTGCATATGCAAAACCAGAAAGTTTTGATTATGAATGTTTTTCTTTATTCTTATTTTTTTAACTTCGTTTTTTTCATGTCTAAAGTTCCTTCAGTTTTTTTTTCAATTTAATTCAACTTTTAAAATTTATTTGTTATTAGAGCACAAAGCAAACCTTGGCCTTCACTTCTACAGGACAAGCAATGAAAGACATGGCAGTATTTCACTTATTATCACAATAACAAATGTCAACACTTTGTTTCTGTACAAAAGGTGGGTATAGCTCTCGGCATACTCCCATCTTCACAAACTAGTTACTCAGCTCTCGGCATACTCCCATCTTCACAAACTTGTTACTCAGCTCTCGGCATACTCCCATCTTCACAAACTAGTTACTCAAATACAGCATACAGTGAATTTACATACAAAATGTACACTTTGCCCACAGGGGCATGGCATAGGTCGACCCCATCCCGAGGTCTATATATGTCTTAAACCCATATGTGAATCATGGAAGGGAACTGTGCCATGCCCCTATGATTTTTTCTTGAACTGACACATAACACACCAGATTCTATTTTAAAACTATTTTAAAACTAGAACACAATTTTTCTACCTAAGTTTTTCTTTAGAAATCAATAATATTATTCGTCTAGACTATAAGAACAATAACAAAGTATTTCTGTTTCAAGTAAGTGATTGTCAACTGTACATAATTGCGTGAAAAACAAAATAGAAAAAAAAATGTGCATGGACATTTCGGAATGATAAATACATGTACATATTAGTTCTCAAAGAAAATACACAATATTAAATTTTGCATACAGATATCTACCGGTATATGTACAAACTACAGACCAACTGTTTGTACCTCTCCATTATTTTATACCACATGGCCCGTTTTTACATTTCACAACTCTCAATTTGTGTAGTCAAACATGGCCATAGTATTTAACAAATACTACATGTAACATAAAAATTGGAAGCATATAAATTGTTCAATATCGTACACTGATGTCAAAGGGTGTAAACCATCTAGCAGCTTGTTACTGTTTCCATTCAAGAGAATCCCTTTTTCTCTTTCTACAGTCCCAGATTCAATTTTATGTAGAGGTACTTAGAAATAGTGACCAAGGCTATGTAGGCACCCAAACAAAGGTTTGGGTACAGTGTAAGATAACCTCTGAAATCTTGCTCTCACAAGCAAGGTTACACGCTGAAAGGCTTGAAGCCACAGTCTTTCCCTGGAATTATAATGTAAGCATTTTACCAGAAATGACATTACAATAGTGGCATAATGAAACTGCGTTTTCTTTCCTTGGTTGAAAAATGGAGTCATGTGTAAGATAATACTTTCCTGATAGGATAAGAAAATGTTGGTATAAATTGGCTTTTTTAATTTAACTCGTTATAATTTTCTTACTAATTGAATTAATATGCACCGTATTCATCTGTCACTCACTATTATTTGATTTTTTTACACACTGTTGTACATTATAATCAAACAATAAACCTTGTACATGTACAGGTATCTTTTAAAGATTAAAAAGCTAACAATGTACAGAGCCTGAAAAACATGATAGCGAACCATCACTTATAAAAAAACATGAGTATACACATCACCAGTACCTTGTACACTGTTAACAAAGCCATCAGTTCTGGGAACAGACATTCTCACAATCAGCAGTGATGGTTACAATGATAAATACAGTCATTCAATAGCTCAAAGGACTACTTTTACTTCATGTGGAATTTTAAATGGGATGAGTATGCAGATTGATTATTTCATATTCTGTATGTTACAAGGAAGAAAACAAGACTGACTTTATGTACATACAGCTGACAGTACATTTCTGCTACCCATAGGTTACAATCCAGTATGATGCTGTCTACCTTCTCTTCAGAGAATGTAGACCAGATCATACCAGACTGTAACCTCACACTAGTGAAGATGTCGGAGCTAATCCTGGTTTAAAAGGCATGAAGTGACTTTAGAATCGATGACTACCTCGAGCAGGGTGCCAATCTTTCGCAGCATAATTACTTCCCAGGAAGATGGAACCCATTTGCACAGCTAGGTAGACTGGAACAAACTGACTTAAGTGTCTTGTTATGTTGGCTAATTGCTGCTGTACACTCGGAGTGTATGATATTTCGGTGCCTCGGACAATACTAAGTGTGCTCTGCTGCCTTATTTCACTGTCTACAGTTTACACACAAGACCTATCTGTCAATCACATATTTAGGTTTGTGTAGAAAAAACCAGAAGACCTGAATCCAGTCCATATTATAATGTGAATCTATCAAATATTTAATAGATCTTGGAATAGTTTGAAAATGATGTAAATGACAAAAATTCTCCAAAACCCCAAAAGATTTTCACAACCGAATGGAGACCAGCATAGATATATATATTGTTGTGTAATTTCTTTTTATTAATTAATGCATAAAATCAATTTCATGATCATAAATTATAAAAAACAAAACATAAATTATTGCACATTTCCTTGAATAACCCATGTCGATATTGTAAAAGAAATTTTCTGTAAAATTATTTCTCACATTGAACAATTGTACATGATAAGCACGCCACACACTTTTAACTGTTTGTATACATGTTGAATGTCACCAGTAGCATCTTAGAATGTTAATCCTCCCATACATATGATGAGAAAAGTTAACATGTTATAGATTACCAACCACTAGGTAAATGTTTATAAAATGTCAGAGTGCCTAACAGGTCTACGATAAAAGGCTGTACTTTGTACAAGACACAGGGAAGTCAGTGGAACAGGTTTACCTTGTTGGTAGGCCTGCTCACAACTTCAATGTCTGGTGCCATGTGGTTTGTTGATCGAGACGATCTCATATCTTACACTGACTTACAGCAGGATAAGTTGAGACCACTAGGACTGATCCTGTTACCACAGCTAGGTCACACATACAGTTGTATCTGTTGCCATGACAACATAGCATGAAGGCTGACACTGTTTCCAGACCTACATCTGATTTACAGGTGTATCTGTAGCCATGCCAACACATCACTGATACTGATCGTTAACATAGCTATGTCTGATCTTATATCTGTTGCCATGGTGACACATCACTAGGACCGATACTGTTACCACAGCTATGTCTGGTTTACAGTTTATTTGTTGCTATGACAACACATCACTTATACTGATTGTTAACATGGCTGAGTCTGATGTTGTATCTGTTGCCATGGTGACACTCTGTTGTTACGTGCCTTGGACACCACTAGGACTGATTTTGTTGTCGTAGATACTCCTGACTAAGCTCCTTGAGGTTTTGTTCCAGCATTGTGACCTCGTCTAATTTCTGGGCCTGCTTGGCCTGTTTGATATAGCCCCTGATGATGTTCATCTGCTGTATCATGGGGTCATCTTTGTCATTGAAGTTAATGGTGGCCTCAGAAGGAATCCAGCCAGACAAAATCTTTGAACCACTCCTCTCCCGTTCTTCCCCTTGTTTCACCTTCACACTGGCAGGCCCCCCTGGTCTCACACCTGTACTCCCTGCAGCAGGTTTGGCTGGTAGCTCCTTCTGTTCACGTTGCTCTCGTTGTTTCATTTCCCGTTCCTGTGCCTCCAGGGTGGCCTGACGTTCCAGTGCGATACGTCTCTGCACCTGCTGTTTCCGCCGCTCCTGTAAAACGGCATACTGTTCTTCAGTTGGTAAGGCCTGTAGGCCAATCACATTCTCCTGCATCACATTACTGGCTCGTATCCTTATGGCCTTTTGAAGTTGGGCCTGCTTGGCTGTGGGTCCTTGCTCAGTGTTCATTCCAAGCTGCAGAATTCTTTTGCTGTCAAAGGCAAACAATGACAAAAGTACAACAACCAACTAGAGTATAAGCTTTATAATGTATCAACTGTATCATAGTCCCCAGTGTTTCTTCCACTTACAAAGAAATGAGATTTTTCTCTGAAACATGTTTCTCTCTAGCTTCATATCACATGCATTTTATTTTTCAACCGAAGCTGGCTTCAATTTCACAAAAAAAAACAAGTTAGATTTTTTTCTTTAATTTCTCCATGAGTTAAGCTAACATTTGTGAATAAAGAACATTATCATGATTTATGTTAATCATTATCAGCATTATAATAATAATAATAATAATAATACTGGACGCAGGCAATATGCCTATATATCCAGATCTGGAATATCGTCAGACACTATGCTGACGTCCCGGCAATGAATAAGTTCATTATTCTCTATCTCATGGTTATAGAAACAAGTAGGTTGTCCCCAATACTTATCCAGACGGGATTCAAATGTTTTAATTGTTGGTGAGGTTACGACAGTATCGGGTAGTATTGTTTTAGAAGAAATGTATTTGATTCCTTCAATATGAAATAAACATTACTGTTTATATTCCAACATAAATAAATGTCCATTGATTTAGTTAACAATGTGGACAAAGTTTTAATAGAAGAGGGTTTAACAAAACAACATTTTAATAGAAGAAGGTTTATCAAAACAAAATTTTAATAGAAGAAGGTTTAACAAAACAAAGTTTTAATAGAAGAAGGTTTAACAAAACAAAGTTTTAACAGAAGAGGGTTTAACAAAACAAAGTTTTAATAGAAGAAGGTTTAAACAAAACAACGTTTTAATAGAAGAGGGTTTAACAAAACAAAGTTTTAATAGAAGAGGGTGTAACAAAACAAAGTTTTAATACAAGAAGGTTTAACAAAACAAAGTTTTAATAGAAGAGGGTTTAACAAAACAACATTTTAATAGAAGAGGGTTTAACAAAACAACATTTTAATAGAAGAGGGTTTTACAAAACAAAGTTTTAAGAGAAGAGGGTTTAACAAAACAAAGTTTTAAAAGAAGAGGGTTTAACAAAACAAAGTTTTAATAGAAGAGGGTTTAACAAAACAACGTTTGGATAGACTGAATTCTTAGATAATGATGTTGCTTACCTAAGACCATCAATTAATTCGTAAGTTTTGAGGATTTTGGTTCTCAGCTGTTGTGCCGACCTCAGACTATGGGTGGATTCTCCGTTACTGTAATGAAAGAAAGGTGTTAATCAGGAAACAAATCTCATATATCTTTGTGTAATGTACAATCTATGTATTCTGTGAGGGTTTCTAAAGTCACTATCTGAACACATTTTGTATAATTCTAAACTCACATAAAACTATTTTCAATTTGAAATTCAGAATATAAAAGGTCATGAGTACTAAATAGAAACACTATAACAAGTGTTACACAACCTGTGAAATGGAAGCAATGTACAATAAATAGAGTTACAGAAAACAGGATTTTAAGGTGACATGCATACATCATATCCCTATAATGTTTTTAAGTTGCGCGAGATCTCTAACATGGTCATATACTCTATGAGCGCAAGTTACAACTTACCCATGGTCTCACTTTCTTAGTGCATGTTGTGACTTAACATATGGTGATATTCATCGAGAGTAAGGTGTGATTTACCCAAGAAACTTAAACATGGACATGTCATTTGGGACAATAATTGTGACTTACCCAAGCGACTCTACCATAGGCATGTACTCCAAGAGTAAGTCATTAGAATCCTTGATGTACTGGCTCATTCTCTACAACACAGGCAAAATAGAAGGTAAAAGGCTGAAATTGTGCACATGCATTCAAATTTTTATTTTATTCTCTCTTCTTTTAAGACAATATTCTCTCTTCTTTTAAGACAATATTCTCTTTCTTTTAGACAATATTCTCTTTTCTTTTAAGGCAATATTCTCTCTTCTTTTAAGACAATAATCTCTCATCTTTTAAGACAATATTTTCATTTCTTTTAAGACAATATTCTCTCATCTTTTAAGACAATAATGAACCTGCCAAAACAAATATAAGAAAATTAACTCCTGAACAACCTCAGTAATAAAACATTCCTCCATTTTTTAAAGATTATGCTCCTTTATTCAATTTGAGAACGTAAGGCTGAGGGGCCTTAATGACCCACTTGATGAGACTAAATGTACAGAAGTATGACAGTGTATTAGCTGACCTGATACAGGAGTATGACAGTGTATTAGTTGACCTGTTACTGGAGTACGGCAGTGTATTAGCTGACCTGATACTGCAGTATGACAGTGTATTAGCTGACCTGATACTGCAGTATGACAGTGAATTAGCTGACCTGATACTGCAGTATGACAGTGTATCAGCTGACCTGATACAGGAGTATGACAGTGTATTAGCTGACCTGATACTGGAGTAATTAGTTGACCTGTTACTGGAGTACGGCAGTGTATTAGCTGACCTGCTACTGCAGTATGACAGTGAATTAGCTGACCTGATATAGGAGTATGACAGTGTATAAAACCTGATACAGGAGTATGACAGTGTATAAGATGCCCTGATCCTGGAGTATGACAGTGTATTAGCTGACCTGATACTGGAGTAATTAGTTGACCTGTTACTGGAGTACGGCAGTGTATTAGCTGACCTGATACTGCAGTATGACAATGTATTAGCTGACCTGATACTGCAGTATGACAGTGAATTCGCTGACCTGATACTGCAGTATGACCGTGTATCGGCTGACCTGATACAGGAGTATGACAGTCTATTAGCTGAACTGATACAGGAGTATGACAGTGTATTAGCTGACCTGATATAGGAGTATGACAGTGTATAAAACCTGATACAGGAGTATGACAGTGTATCAGCTGACCTGATACAGGAGGATGACAGTGTATTAGCTGACCTGATACAGGGGGATGACAGTGTATTAGCTGACCTGATACAGGAGTATGACAGTGTATTAGGTGACCTGATACAGGAGTATGACAGTGTATTAGGTGACCTGATACAGGAGTATGACAGTGTATTAGTTGACCTGTTACGGGAGTACGGCAGTGTATTAGCTGACCTGATACTGCAGTATGACAATGTATTAGCTGACCTGATACTGCAGTATGACAGAGTATTAGCTGACCTGATACTGCAGTATGACAGAGTATTAGCTGACCTGATACTGCAGTATGACAATGTATTAGCTGACCTGATACTGCAGTATGACAGTGAATTAGCTGCCCTGATACTGCAGTATGACAGTGTATTAGCTGACCTGCTACTGCAGTATGACAGTGAATTAGCTGACCTGATACTGCAGTATGACAGTGTATTAGCTGACCTGCTACTGCAGTATGACAGTGAATTAGCTGACCTTATACTGCAGTATGACAGTGTATTAGCTGACCTGATACTGGAGTAATTAGTTGACCTGTTACTGGAGTACGGCAGTGTATTAGCTGACCTGCTACTGCAGTATGACAGTGAATTAGCTGACCTGATACTGCAGTATGACAGTGAATTCGCTGACCTGATACTGCAGTATGACCGTGTATCGGCTGACCTGATACAGGAGTATGACAGTCTATTAGCTGAACTGATACAGGAGTATGACAGTGGATTAGCTGACCTGATACAGGGGTATGACAGTGGATTAGCTGACCTGATACAGGAGTATGACAGGGTATTAGCTGACCTGATACAGGAGTATGACAGGGTATTAGCTGACCTGATACAGGGGTATGACAGTGTATTAGCTGACCTGATTCAGGGGTATGACATTATATTAGCTGACCTGATACAGGAGTATGACAGTGGATTAGTTGACCTGTTACTGGAGTACGGCAGTGTATTAGCTGACCTGATACTGCAGTATGACAGAGTATTAGCTGACCTGATACTGCAGTATGACAATGTATTAGCTGACCTGATACTGCAGTATGACAGTGTATTAGCTGACCTGATATAGGAGTATGACAGTGATTAAAACCTGATACAGGAGTATGACAGTGTATAAGATGACCTGATACTGGAGTATGACAGTGTATTAGCTGACCTGATACAGGAGAACAATTGGTGGTTGTGTGTTCCTCTGCTCCATCTGTTGGTCACGCCTCTCCAGCAGTTTGCGACAGTTCTCACATGTTCGTATATGTGGGTCCCCGTCCATACCCATGAGGGAATTAAGACTAGTATTACTGCCACTACGCTTGAGGAATCCCACCTCACCACCAGTCTGGAAGGCTGGGTCGGTCAGTTTCTCTACAACACCAACCTACACTCAACATTCTGTCACAAGTCATGAGCTGTAACACGTATGTAATCAAAAATATAGTCAGCTATTAGAAGCTGTTATGTATTCATGTGCAAAATGCAAATGTTGTCAAAAAAATTATAACATAATAATTTTGAATTTTATTCAACCTATGCTTCATAAAATCTAAAAAGGAATGGCAGTTTCACTATTTGAATTCTCAATACATTGTACCAGAAAAAAACTAATTACAATAGATCTGCCTTCTTCCTTCAGACCAAAATGGATTGAAACAAAGACAATTTTCAGATTTTCAGACAGTCTTATGAAACACACAAATCACTCGCACCAAATTATATTTTTGTGAAGTACATATACAGTACATGTAATAATTATCATTCCTGAACATCAACAAACATTTCATGTATCATACAGGAAACAATGAAATTATTAATGATCATCTTTTTTCACTAGAAGTGATCCTTTGTCTTACTGGCAAATGTGTATGGCATGAAATGAGAACACTTGTCACACATGATGTCTCCGCAGAGTCTGCAATGGTGGCGCCGCCTGGTGAGACCAAATGACCGACCACAAGTCGGACATGATGGGATCATCTTGTCTGGTAACCAGGGTACAAGGGCACGTTCGTAAGCTGCAGAAAACATGTAGAAAATATTGAAGTACGTAGCTTGAAGCAGTAAGTTTTCTATCATTAACTTTCAAACCTGCTAATGTAAATGTTGAATAATAATTTGTGCTGAGGCAAGCGGCTTAGTGTTCAGATCTGTATATAAACCTAAAACAAGAGTTCCGCGAAACGGTACATGATACGCCCGTCAGATGTAGAATGAGCAGTTTGCCACAAAGGGCCATAAGTGCATAAATTTTGGAGAGATAAGCGTCTAATCTACAAGGGGCCATAACTGCATAAATCAGTGACAAATTTTGATTATCAAGCTTGTCCACGCTTATATGGCAATGAACCTTCCTACCAAGTTTGAAATTAATCCATTCAAAATTACTCAAGTTATTGAGCAGAAACTGTTTCGTCAATTCTTTAAAGGGCCATAACTCTGTAAATAACGGGCAAATAGTTTTGATTATCGCAAGCTTTCATAGAAATAAACCTTCCTATGAAGTTTGAAATGAATCTATTCAAAATACTGAAGTTATTGAGCAGAAACTGTTTCGGCAATTCTTCAAAGGGCCATAACTGTGTAAATAACTGGTAAATAATTTTGGTTATCAAAATTGTCCGAGCTTTTATGGCAATGAACCTTCCTATGAAGTTTGAAATTAATCCATTCAAAATTACTCAAGTTGTTGAGCGGAAACTATTTCGGCAATCTTACATAGGGCCATAACTCTGAAAATAACTGGCAAATAATTTTGCTTTTCAAACTTGTCCGAGCTTACATGGCAATGAACCACCCGCCCGCGTGAAAACATAATATGTACCGTCTTTCGACGGGCATATAAAAATTCAATCTACCTTGTCCTGAGCAACTTTCAAGATTGATATTTGTTTCTGTGTCCTTGTTCCACTCACAAAGATTAGTAATTTATAAAATGAAAATAGCATAGTTTTTTCAGTTAACACGTCTGAAGCTAAACGATAAAGATTGGGTTTAAATATTTTGAAAGACGGGAATCAACCCAAAGAAATATTCATACACATTGCTGGTTATACATGTAGACATTTTGAAATCAAAATAGAAGTTTATTCTCTGTCCAAAAAATAGACATATCAACATTTAATTGAATTCTTCTAAAAACCTTTTGACAATGAAAATAATATGAGTTATGCTGACTTTGTTCTAAAGGGCAGAGGTCATTTACCTTTACGTTTACCGGGATCTGCTGGTGATTCTTGGCCGGTAAGTTTATCTAGTCTGATGATGAGTTTATTGGTCTCCACCACAAACCTATCCACTCTGTTCCCTCGCACTGTCTTAAATGTGTCCGTCCAGGACCGTGTGTGTCCTACAACGTCAAATACAGGATCATAAACATCACAGACTACAACGTCAAATACAGGATCATAAACATCACAGACTACAACGTCAAATACAGGATCATAAACACCACAGACTACAACGTCAAATACAGGATCATAAACACCACAGACTACAACGTCAAATACAGGATCATAACACCACAGACTACAACGTCAAATACAGGATCATAAACACCACAGACTAACTGGTGTCTGAGCTTGCTATAGGGAGTGTTGGACGCTTGCATGTGTTACATCAGGAGTGAGAGACAGGTCTGGAGATGTCATACCAAACCCTACCACTTAAAAAACCTCCTCATGTCAATCTCTTTGACTTGTATATTAATATGTTTTTATCAATAAATTATATTACTTAAGTAAAATGAATGACTTTCTGCTCATGATTCCATGGACTATTAGGGGTACATGTAGTATCCTGTTAAACTTGGGCCAGCTATATAACTGCTTGTCATTGTCTATACTATCAAACAAGTATAATCCCTGGGTATCCAATAGGGATGGGCCATATCCTGACACACAAGAGCATGTTATGTAATTCTGATGGCCATTGTCTGTACTGTACACACAAGTAACTTCCTGGGACCTGGGTATCCAACAGGGATGGGTCATATCCTGACACACAAGGGCCTGTTATGTAATTCTGATGGCCATTGTCTGTACTGTACACACAAGTAACCTACCTGGTTCCTGGGGATCCCACAGGGATGGGTCATACCCTGCCACACTAGGAGCAGGAATGTAGCTCTGATGGCCGTTGTCTGAATTTGTATTGGCAGTTTCTGCATTACTTGGGGTATCCTTGTCGCCTAATATCTTCTTTATGGTTTTCCCAAATAGGCCTGTAAACAAAATATCATGTTCGCTGACTATACTGTTAAATAAAATTAAGGTAAACAAATCTTAAATATATATAACAAGAGATCCCAGAGGGATCTTTGCGCCCACCACTGTACAATCTTCATTAGTTCTTTGTCAGTTCGATCTTTTCTCTTCTTTCCTCTATGTCAGTTCGATCTTTTCTCTTCTTTCCTCTAATCTGTTTGATCGCGTCATGTTAACAGTAAATGCACCTTGAGGTAACTTTTGATCTAAACTTAATACTGATGTGTATGAAAGCCAGCCTTCAAAGTGAGTTTGTCATTTCACATATTTACTAGTACAGTACTTAATGTGAAAGAAATAGAATCGATCATTGCAATATGAGATAGATCTGTTTAGTTCTTCCTTTAGCCATTTTGTTTTTATGACCAGTCTCCAAATATAACATGCACAACGAGGGGTCAAGGGGAACCTTTACATATTAAATTTGAGAAAGATCCCTGAAGATATTCCTGAAAAATAGTAATAACAAACCTTCAATGTCAAAAATTGAAGATAGCTGTCGGTAGGCCATTTTGTTTGACTGATCAGTTTCAAAAGTAAACATGAACAATAAAGGATAGTGGGGAACCTGGATTGGCTGGCTCAAAATATATTTTTTGGGCAAGTGAAAAATTTGAAGCACAGCTGGCCCAAAAGACATATTGGTGGCCCAAATAAATTTGGCAAAAAATATTTCCACAGCATTTAACGTACACAATGCTTCAGCACATTTAAATTATATATAACATGACAATGTTTGTAATATGTAAAACAGAATAAAACATTATATTTTTAATTCTTAACCCTAGTTAAAACCTGACATGTTCCCCAAAGAAATACACAAAACTTGCACCTCAAAGAAGACACCCTGGCTGTACCTACATATAAAATTTAAGAAAGATCCATTTAGTACTTCCGGAGAAATAGGGGTAACAAACCTTCACTATCGAAATCCAAGATGACTGCCTGCCGGCCATGTTGTTTATCCGATTGGTCTCAAAAATTGCCCTGCACAGCTTAGGACCAAGGGGAACCCACATATAAAATGTGAGAAAGATCCCTCCCGTACTTCCGGAGAAATAGCAATAACAAACTTTCACTATCAAACTCCAAGATGGCTGCCTGTCGGCCATGTTGTTTATCCGATCAGTCTCAAAAATTGCCCTGCACAGCTCAGGTCCAAGTGAAACCTACATATCAAATATGAAAAAAATCCCTTTGATATTCCAGAGGAATAGCAATAACAAACTTTCACTATCGAAATCCAAGATGGCTGCCTGTCGGCCATGTTGTTTATCCGATCAGTCACAAAAATTGCCCTGCACAGCTCAGGTCCAAGGGAAATCTACATATCATATATGAAAAAAATCCCTTTGATATTCCAGAGGAATAGCAATAACAAACTTTCACTATCGAAATCCAAGATGGCTGCCTGTCGGCCATGTTGTTTATCCGATCAGTCTCAAAAATTGCCCTGCACAGCTCAGGTCCAAGGGAAATCTACATATCAAATATGAAAAAAATCCCTTTGATATTCCAGAGGAATAGCAATAACAAACTTTCACTATCGAAATCCAAGATGGCTGCCTGTCGGCCATGTTGTTTATCCGATCAGTCTCAAAAGTTGCCCTGCACAGCTTAGGACCAATTGGAACCTACATATAAAATTTTAGAAAGATCCCTCTGGTACTTCTTGAGACATAACGATAACAAGAATTGTTTAATGACGGACCACGGACGGCGGACCACGGACGCAGGGTGATTTGAATAGCCCACCATCAGATGATGGTGGGCTAAAAAGAAAGGGGATATCAAATAAGGCTATCTACCAGTAGTTGCTTTTAATGTTGCTTAGAAAATTGTATTATAAAGCAAGAACTAAGACTACAAAAGCTGCTTGGAAAATTATCCTATAGAACTAAATAATACGAGAGTATTGTCAACAACCATCAATGTTAGTTCAGGCATCAGACACATTCACCATCTGATTTGCTACTGATCACTGACCACTCCCATATCTTGATCTCTAATTGAGCATAAAACTAGTCTACAAAAAGTTAAATTATATGCAGGTTAAAGACATTGTATTTGTATATACCTCTGAGCTGTTGAAGAACATCTTTGTCCTCGGCTGAGTGCTCCTCTTCGAAATGTCCTTGGAGTTGTGTGATAGTACCCAGGTCTTTCATACACATGGGGCAGAGGAAGCCCTCTCTGACCTCTGCAGCTGTCGCCATCTCAATCCTCACTGTCACAAGTCAATAAATGCTCAATTTGAAATACATATGTTACATCAATTAAGTCTAGAGTGCGTGTGCATGTGTTCTGTTCTTCTTCAAGAGCTGTTCCAAATTGCATCATCAAACATTGATGATTAGTATCACTCAACAGTGGGAATGGGGCTGCATGAAGAGTTGTGTTTATTGTAGAGTACAGCTACTACAGGGAGAAGGCTCCATTGTGTCGTGCTTGGTATTCATGTATGTAGAAAGAGTCTTTGTTTGTGTCATTCGAAGTAATGATGTTTCTCAATGTTTCTGCTTTGTGGGTTTGGTTTGGAATTCCGTAGCTAATATAACAGGAGGAAGCAGGATTAATTGGGACAGGACAGTGTACATGTTTTCAATATCTATACAAAATCATGACCGAGAAGTATAATCCTGAGGTGTCGACTTTCATCACACCACCACTACCAGAGGACTGAACTGAACCGTGGATATATGGAACGGCCTGCCATCGGAGGTCGTAATGCCACGAACAGTCCGAGCATTTGAGCATAGCCTTGGCCGCCATTTGAAGAACCAACCACTTGTGTATAACCACAGGGAAGCCATCGAAGTCACGCATACTAATGGTCATTGATTGAACTTTAACGAAAATATCACATTTGAACATTTAAAAATTGCGATATACAAGAGACACCCATATATGTACCAACATTTTTATTTTGAACCACACTCATTCAATTCACAATGTTACTGTAATATAATTACTTATCATTGAACATCTGTTCTCTATGGAACTGCATCAGTGCAGCTATATCTGTAATGGACTTGAACAAAATACTCAGAAATCATGTTATTAATATGTTTAACCAAATATATGTACTATTGTAAATTTTATAATTGAGCTGACAGCAGAGGAAATTTTACAATTTCCTACAGTAAGAATAAATCTGTGTACCTGTGTTATATTTTTTTTGTAGTTTTTATGTTTGTAGTGTGGAGGGGTCAGTTATATTTTTATGAAACAAGGTACACCAGGGTCTACCACAGAAAAAGGAGTCTTGGTCTTGACAAATAATTGTACATGTATGTATTGCAAGCCTCTTACCATGGTTTTGCTTTGTAAGTCTATACTATTTGTGTTGTAATGTACGTAGGGGTCAGAGATCAGCAGAATTCCTGGCTTTGTGTGCATGTAGTGCTAGAATTATGCATACGCCTACATCACATACTTGACAAACGTAATACCTCTGCATATGTTATCCGCCTAACATTTGCGTAACTAACAGAAGATAGATATGCATGACCAGACAGAGATTCGAAACTGGGACCTACCTAACTCAAAAGGGCCCGAAGACTATTTACAACCAAAGTTCAGGGATCCCTTTGTCAAGCATTTACCCAGTACTTTAAACAAGGGCTGCATGGTCACGGCAGGTACCACTGAAACAGGAGAGAGAAATTCACGACCAGACCGGAACCTTCCGAACTGTAGACGGACGTTCTACCAATTGAGCTACCAGCTGGTTGCCAGAGATTGACCCAGTCCAGTTCCCCACACTTATATATATGGTAAATTTTTACCTTTTTTAATCATTAAGTTCCTTTGATGAAGTGGGTTCATTAAGTTTCATTTTAACATATTGTTTGGCCCTATATCGCCTTTAAGTTAATTTGCTGTAAGGCAATAAACAAAGTGTCAATTTCATGCAACTGCTAAGAACATTTTATGACCAGGGGCAACACCCACACATCTTAACAATTAATCATTTAGCAATTACCAATATGCAATCAAAAGCATAAGACCATCGCCATCAGTGCAAATTTGGCCTTAACCAGCATACCTACCTTTCAGTGAGATAAACAGGAAAACATTACAATAGACGCCTTATACAGATGTCACTACGGCGATCAAGTGAATCCCCGAATCCCCTGTCAATTTCAGCGGAAGCAGTCTATGGAAAGTAAATAGCAATTACTGGTTTCGAATACGGAATAACACATTCCGGAAAATTGTGCAAAATTGCAACATCATATCATTCACATGTTAAAAAATAATACGCACTTTTTAAATAGAAAAAAACCAAAGAAAAGTGAACTTGTTCATTATTTAAATAATCATAAAGAAAAACACAAATATGTTGGGGTTTCCCAATCAGCATGATAAACACGACCTCTGGCGGGGATTCCCTTATCATTTCCTTTTCCGCTGAACGACTTCCGCTACTGGTAATGAAAACATTTCATGTGTATTCCAATCTGCTTTCATCCGTTGTCATCGGGCAAATTTTGAATCTGATTTCAACCATGTTGAACATTGAATGACACAGGACTATTTTTGAATTTGTTTTATTGGGGAAAGTATTCACCAACTAACATTCTTTGGTGTTTATCCCTCGGGTATCTCCCTTGGTTATCATATTCCTCATCGTCTGTTGACCACATATTACTAAATTATTCTTTGGAAAAAGGGAATAACTGTCCTCTGATGATATATCGAAAATGAAGCATTGTTTTTTCACCAATTAGGTGTTTTGTCAAAATAATTGGTCAAAAAACCTTCCACTTTGATTAGTAAATTTTGATTCATATATATTTCTGTACAGTAGCTCTATACCTATTCGGGGAGAAAAGTGAAATGAAAACACAAAAAGAAAAAGTTATGAACAAAATCCAATGAATAATACACTTATGATGTCTGAATCACTGTGTCTGCTATGTATATATGTACAAGTATGAAGAAGTCTTCATTATCCTATATGCTATCAGTGTTATGCTCCGAAAACTGGGGGGGGGGTAGTTTTGCTTCAGCTTTTATTCAGTTCAATATGACATACAAATATATGCATGGTAAAAGTTAGTAACTTACCGTCTATGATTAAGTATCCTTTATATCAATTCTGGTTGTCGTTTTGTCACATGTTGACGATTATAAATGACAAAACAGAACCAATTGTGCTAAATGGTCCTGCTAGTAGCCAGTCTTAAAAAATTGAATTTACACACCACTGAATTGGTCTATGGAATATAGATTTTCTGCTTTTGTCCTCCACCTCTGATTTGACAGCATCCTCAGAGTTCGGGAAAACCGTTATATTCACTTGCTGTTACCAAGCTTCAAATATTCACACATATCGCATCAGTGTTCCCTGTCATCTTTGTAATTGTTTTTTTTTTGTACCCCCCACATCTCTCAAAATGGGGGTATGGCTGCATATTAGGGGTACACCATATCTAAATCCCTGTGGATATGCAATATCATCACAAAATTGTTAACTAATTGTAACAATGCCATTTTTACAGGTTTTTATTTATAATATTTCAAGTTTGTCGTATAATAAAAACACCAAGAATAAGTCAGTAATAATGATCTTTATTTAACGTCTTGTACAATTGTCAACAACAAACATAAGCTCTGTAGAGCATTTATTACGCCGCCGCTAAGGGAACAAATGGTGTTTTCATGGTGGAGGAAAACCACCGCACCATCAGAGGGATAACAACTAACCCTATCAGACATCACTCTCTTTTTTCAACCACTGCTGGGGATCTAACTGAAATTCTTGGGAGAGCGAGTGGTCTGAAGCTCAAGCTTGATTGCACACAGTAGTACAATGACTATGCGCGTTAGCGATCACAGCTAACGAGGCACCCAAACCGTAACAGAATGAAAATTTTGTATTATAGAAACAGAGATAATGTCACTTACCCATACTGGGCACAGACAGCCATTATGTAAAACATGAACTGAAAGTTGTCGTCTGACGACAGAAATCCAAAGAGCGTCTGCTGTTTTTTTCAGTCGCTCATGATCAATTACGCAGTATAGTGATAATCAGCCCCGAGGATACCGATAGCCCGGCTATGCACTCGGGTATTATTGTAGGACAGTGCGGACTCATTATCTCCCATAGTAAATATATTCGCCGCTTGGTGCGCTGCATGCATTGTTTACTACCTGACTTCCGTCATTTGCAGGAAATTCTGACAGTCACTTTCGTTTTTTCTGAATGTCATCATGCAAAATACAAACATGCAGACTGCTATAAAAACGACTGAACATTGTATAACATTATTGTGCATACTCTGACGCTTAGTATGACGAATTTACGCGTGCAAAGGTGTTTACTACGCGTGAATCAAGCAGGATTCTGCGTGATCAGTAACACTGTCGCATCCTGGCATACTTAAGTCACAGGATCTAGCCTCGTCTGTCAATACACCTATAATATAATCAAGGTTGGTAACTCCGTCCCCCTAGTAAAATGACATAAAAAGCATTTAGAATAGGGGCATTTAAGAAAAAGTAGACATTTCCAAAACAACCATGTTAAAAATTCAATTGTAGCTATCGGGGAAATTAGCAAGCCACAAATGGCATGGTATACGGTGGCATTATATCATTTGGTGCCAGCTGTTATTGACAACACGGCAGCATGTAATTAATTGATAGCGTATCATACCATATGTTAAAGAGTTAACCTGGTTAATCATACGATGGCACAATGCATGAAGGGAAGCAACTCTGTTGATTCTGTATTGGTTCAATCTGTGGGTCTAGACATATATAAACCAAAACAAGTTGGTCACTGAAAAAACCTCAGAGATGAAAATGTGTCCTTTAGAATCTAGCCTTGGTGATATCCAAGGCATATTTATATCTGGCTTATGAGATTTCTTCATCTGTTATTTTGACAAAGTGCAATAGAATTTCTGCATAGCAACTGCAGTAAAGTATATCTGCCTGGTGTAGATCTATATCTTTTTCAAATCCTCAAATTTTTAACATCTTTAATTCTATAAGATGCATCCCAAGATGTGATTTTTGCAGAATATTTCTTTAGAATATAACTTATCCAAGTGATCAACGTATATAGGCCAAATTAGGTATTAGTATTTTGAAACCAAACCTCAACAATGAATAAGGGATATAATAATGTCCTGAGACCAGGGGATATAATAATGTCCTGAGACCAGGGGATATAATAATGTCCTGAGACCAGGGGATATAATAATGTCCTGAGACCAGGGGATATAATAATGTCCTGAGACCAGGGGATATAATAATGTCCTGAGACCAGGGGATATAATAATGTCCTGAGACCAGGGGATATAATAATGTCCTGAGACCAGGGGATATAATAATGTCCTGAGACCAGGGGATATAATAATGTCCTGAGACCAGGGGATATAATAATGTCCTGAGACCAGGGGATATAATAATGTCCTGAGACCAGGGGATATAATAATGTCCTGAGACCAGGGGATATAATAATGTCCTGAGACCAGGGGATATAATAATGTCCTGAGACCAGGGGATATAATAATGTCCTGAGACCAGGGGATATAATAATGTCCTGAGACCAGGGGATATAATAATGTCCTGAGACCAGGGGATATAATAATGTCCTGAGACCAGGGGATATAATAATGTCCTGAGACCAGGGGATATAATAATGTCCTGAGACCAGGGGATATAATAATGTCCTGAGACCAGGGGATATAATAATGTCCTGAGACCAGGGGATATAATAATGTCCTGAGACCAGGGGATATAATAATGTCCTGAGACCAGGGGATATAATAATGTCCTGAGACCAGGGGATATAATAATGTCCTGAGACCAGGGGATATAATAATGTCCTGAGACCAGGGGATATAATAATGTCCTGAGACCAGGGGATATAATAATGTCCTGAGACCAGGGGATATAAACTGTGCCTTGACCCTATGACTTTAGAGGTTTTGTTACGATTATCATTGGCCCAATCAGACTGACAGACTCCTTTGAAAATTTTGTTGATATAAGCCTTTATTTTTGAACGTGAATGAGATTTTTCCATATAAGGGCATAACAGAATGAAGATAATTTCAAAACACTTCAAACCAAAAAGTATAATTCATGTGAATTTCTTTGCAATATGTTTGATTTATGATTGGATTGAATTAAGTTAATTTTCGTTCTTTTCTGTCTTTTTCAGAAGAAAGAAGTCTTCATTTGCAAATCTTCAGCCTGGTGAGTGTTTATGTACATACTAGGCATGTTAGAGTGAACTATTGGTTAGTTTGGTTTTATATTTATTCTTTCCCCACTTTATAGTAGTGAGGGGTGTTATGTTTCAATGTCCGTCTGTCATTGATTGTCTAGAAGTCTTATGATACCCCATGGAAAGGAGGTGATACTGTATTCAGACTGCTCCCTCTCCGTCCTTCCTACCTTCCGCCCTTTTTTTTTTTCCATGGTCAAACTAAACTCGACGTTGACCGAATAGTCAGGCCGCAAATTCAAAGCGGATAGTGCTTTCACCATGATGGCTGGGGTTTTCAATCTAGGATCAGACATAAAAAAGGTATGGGGTCACCTGCCCAACCAGGTGGGCTTTTTCAGGGTACTACAGTTTCCTCCCACATTAGGACACTCTGCATGCTACCATCAGAGCCACAATTCCAAGAATGACTACTATAAGTTGATATAACTTGTTTCATATTTAATGTAAAATCAAGATTAATAAAAAAAAATGTCCAAAAAATAAACTGCATCTTTACAGAAAATGCTGGCTGTGGTTGCTTAGTTTACTCAAGGTCATGATCACTGTTACTATAAATAGAAAATTGATTTCTGCACGACGGTTCATGTTATTATAACATTATAATGTCGATAACAAGATAAAGGTCAATTTCAGATGTTGAACATTGGTGAACATGAAGTAAATATGAGATTGATGCCAAGTGGCCCATTGGTGTATGTTGTCAAGTGCCAAGTTTGAAGTCAAATTTAATACCTTAGAAAACAGCGCTTTGGAGTAATTGGTTGAACCTAAGTGTTCATTGATGCAGGTTATATTAGAAGTCTTGGAGGTCAGATTCTACATTCCTTTCCAGGTAAATGTTAAGATCATCTTCCTTATTAGGAATATCTGTGACATCTGATGTTGTGCCACTGTGTGTTGGTATGAGTAATGCCAAATTAACATTTTTCAGTGGCACACCTCTTGGATGATTGTTGAGCAGTTAAAGTTGATCTTGTGATATACCGTACATGGAGAATAATACATGCCTTTTTCCATATCACACCGAGTATCAACCCAAGACTCCAATATCATTATTGATTGATATTGGTCGAGGGTTGATACTTGGTGTGATACGGAAAAAATCATGTTTTATTCTGTTTATCATATACTTACTAATAAAATACGGAATGATCTTCTATCTTATGATCTATTTTTCTTTCTTTTTTTAAATGAAAAACAAAAAAATCCCGAAAGGGGTGTGATAGGGGTATTGCAGGCTGATATATGGGTTTTGGGGTGTGATACAGCGAAGGCTGATAAACGTTTTGGGGTGTGATAGGCGAAGGCTGATAAAGGTTTTGGGGTGTAAGTAATTGTGTCGTATCGCATATACAAAAAAAAACCATATTTATTAGTAAATATGTAATAAACAGAGTTATTGACCTTTGCTCGTGTTTGATACTGAAAGTTTCGGACGGTTTGGTACTAAATGGATTGTTTCAGATGTCAAATGGAATCAGGTTGTCCCTCACTCTGTAGACACAATTGTGTTCAGAGAGATCCTACTAAACTATGTAACCAATTTCAATGAGACTTTTACACACTTCTTACCAAATGTATTTAATTATCTTAAATCTATGCATGTGTGACAGCTATGCTAGTTAGTGATACTAATAAGAGAGTTATTGCCCTGGGTTTACTTGACTAACAAAGTGTCGTCTGACCTACTATGATAGTATAAGATGGTAATTGAACTTTGCAAATGTATGTCAAATTCAAACAATATTCAAATTGTCGGTTTTATTGTTTTTTTCATGCCCAGTTATAAATTTGTTGCTGTAAACAAAATTTGAGATAAATTATGAAGTTATTATTACATTCAAGATTCCTGTAATTATGAAGTAATAATGAAAACAAGTCGTATTCAAAGATAACATTTTTAATAGATCTGTCAACATAAGCATGTTACATAAAACACTGGAAATCTTAACAAACGAACACTTAATGTAACAGTGATATAATATAAACATCTTAACATACTGTATCCATGGTAATGACATGAAAAACGTTTTATCAGAAAACGTGTGTCTAATGGATTACAATTTACCACAATAATTGCCATTATATCAGTGGTTCAAATTTTCTTCCAAACGTAAAGCTGTAATCTTGACTCATTTGCTCATGTATCAAGTTTCATAACTTTTAAAAGGACAAAGTAACATTATAATTGTGGATATTGTAATATTTAATGCTTGCCCTTGGAACCAAAGTGATCATTCCTGGTTGGTATTTACACAAATATTTCAAAACAAAGTTTTCAGAAAATTATACATGTATTTGAAAATTAAACTCAAGTTAATATATTATTTAATGATGTGTTGAAGCCGATAAATAGAACCTGGGGGTCCAAAAACTTAATAAGTGGAGTGACATACACAAAACATCAACACAATATTGCATCACATTAAATAATCCGAGGTTTCCATATAACTGTCTTAACCAGTATCTTTTAACCTTACTGACTCAGAATTTTACTGTGAGTGAAGTGTCTATTTCTAAATGTACACACTATGTACATAACAATTTCACATAGATGTTTCTGAGTTGATGTCAGTGCTTAACTGGGCTGTGAGCATGCTGTCTGTTTCTACACAATAACTTGATATAGGCATTTCTGAACTGGTGGTTGAGTAGTCCGTACAACACAGGGTTTAGTGCACTGCCGATATACACTGTGGTAGCACAGAACATGTGGAACGTCTTGGACATGATGTGGTTCCAGTCGATCAGTCCTGTAACGGTACAAGGAAAGTACGAGATGGCAAACACCAGAAAAATCACCACCATCATTCGTGTCAGGTGCATCTCCCTCTTTATACTGTTTGTGTCGATCGCGTTAAGCAGTCTCATGTTGGACAGAATTCTCTTCGAACTGTTGTAGGTTGTCATGTATATCTTGATGTAGAAATACACGATAAGTCCACAGGGAATTCCCGCCCTTACAACCAGTAAGAAGATTTTAAACATCTGACTGTTGTGGTCCAGAAGCAGGTTACAAGTGACCATCATAGGAACGTAGCCGAATTTCCCCCATATTTCCGTTATGGCAGGAAGTAGGAAAATGACGGGCAGTATCCATGAAAGGGTGATCATTGCCGCTATATTGGTTTTGGTGTACAGTTGTCGATATGCCATCATATCGGTGACGAGCTTGTATCGGTTGTAGGCGATCAATACAACAGTGATTATGGTTGTGCCTGTAACATAAACAACAGATTTAAAGTTTTTTATATGAACAAAAAATATATAGCAAATGCTTTTATTTCCTGAGGAATTCTGATGGCCCAGGACCATTCCTGTAATAAAATAAATAAAAGCATAAAATTCAATACAAATTTGATACTATTACAAGATTTTAACGACCCTATCTTGTACCATAGAATACATGTATATATGTCTCCCAATCAAAGGGTCTTAATTATAATCTTTGTATATTTTACAGGGTTCATACATGTCTAGAAAAGGTCCTTAAAATTAGAGTTCATTTTGAAAAGTGTCAAAGTTAATGAAGATACCCTAAATTTAATATAGAAAATATCTTGAAAGTGAAATGAGCCTTGAATTTGACTTAATGATCATGAAACCATGGTTGTACATTAATTTTCACGGATCCCCCCGGATCTCTCTATTTTGAGAATTCGCAAATACTAGGAGAGTAAAATTCCTGTTTCATAGATTACCCTAGCCTATCAAGGAGAATAAAATTCTTGTTCCATATATTACCCTAGCCTCGCAAAGACCAGACATAATAACTATATGATCATCAGAGGAATTCTGTGTATAAGTTATGTGTTCCAACATTGCATACTTGTTGTGTCTGTGTCCCCAGAGTATAATACAAGGTGGCAGTGTGCTGTCATTCTATGATGAATGGGCCAAGGGAGTTAACATCTATGCTGTAACTTCAGGAAAGATCCATTTCAAACCTTGTCAGAAAAAAAGATAATTTTCTATAAGTGTGCTCCTCTTTACCCAGTCTGTATAAAAAAAATAGTGGGAAAAATCACAAGATAATAAATCACTTGTGACCCAAATTTTTGAAAGGTTATAAGTGCTACCACTGTTTATATGTTCCCCTGCAGCTTGCGATTGATGAATGAGGCAAATTTAGATTAAAAGTTGGGTTTGTTCTGTCCCAGAAAATCCAGGAACTGGTCTACGTGTTCCAGATCATGGCCATTTATCTAGAGGTGATATACAAGGTCATGACTACAGGATATAGTTATAGGGAAAATCATATATATATAAATAAAGCAAAACACAATTCTCTCATCTAATCTGTTTGTATGGCTTCAGCCTTGGTCAGGAAACCCTGTTCAGAAGAGGAAGATATAAATAAAGTTCAATAGAGGATCGATAGAATCCAGCAGCGATGCTATTAGATTGTGGGGAACACACATGATTTTGTAAAGCTTCAGTCAGAAAAGCCCATCTAGGAGAGTAAGATGTAGGCTATTTCTCATAATCATCAGAACTTGATATACAGACACGTTATGATTCATATATATATTATATCAGACATGTTTGTTCTGAATCAGCGACACGCACCAGTATAACCTAAGCCCTATACCGGTACATTATTTAGGTATTGGTACAATCCAAAATGATGTATACCATTTTGCTTGAAATTTTTCTATGAAAGCAAAAAATAAACTGATTTAAAGAGACTGACTAGATTTGATACCTGATCAATATATATTGGAAACTTTTTACCCACAATAATAGTTAAGTAGGTGGGAAATATTTATTTTCCCTGCTACTTACAGTACAGTTTTGTCTTTGATTCTATATTAAAGCAGTTGCCTAAATTCTTTGCTATATTGACATACATATTTCAGACAGAAATATTGTAGGACCATTACTGGATCGAAATAATAATATTTTCTAACCAGTTCAGCAAGGTGAACGGTGTATACTTGGCAGATATTTATATGTAATATGATGACGGAGAACAAAAAAATACTTTATAATATTTTCTATGAAAGCAAATTTGAGCTGATTTAATGAGATTGATTGAATTTGAACATTGGAAACTAGGTTTTTTGCAAAATTAGAGGAAGGGGAGACATTTATTTTTCTTGCAGAAGTTTGTACGGTATTTCAGAACCGCTGGTCACATGTGAATTTGGCATATGAAAAAAAACACTTCATTTGGGTCATCACTTTTATAAATTGTGTCCAATCAAATGAGCTTATTCTCACAAATATTCCCCAGTGAGTAAATTCTGTAAAATAAACTCGTGTGAAATGGTAAGATTTAATCCTGATAGAGAATACACACACACACATACACTCCCGAGAACCCATGCTGCAATTGATAAAACATTTTTTTAAAACTGATTTCATCAACAAAATACACACCGTATGTAGTCATGTGTTCAGTACTGTTTCAAATTTAGCTTGGCACTTAGGTATCATCTTGGACATTCCAAATGATGTGTAAACTGTCTCACTTGAACATTTCTAAGGAAACCTAAACAAACCTTGAAATGAGACTAAACAGATTTGATGATTTAAAACTTAAGACATATTTTGCATAATTGTATGGGAGATTGTGTGTATGTTACATTCCATGTTAAAACTTGTTCTTAACAGGATTTATTCAAGTAATTTGGACAAGCAATGTAAAACAACAACATCCTGATCCTAAAAATTGATGATTGGAGAAACAAGCTGTAGTTATCCAACTTGACAATTACAATTGACCCTTTCACCACTAGTACTGTAGACCATAATGGACTCGTCCAGATCAATGCATGTGATAGTCTATTAAGGTTTCATAGGGGTGAAAGGCTAGGGTTAATAATGGTTTATTTCTAGTGAGAAAAACTAATTTGAAATCAAAGATAAAAAAATTGAAAGAGTGAAAAAAGACAGAACATTATTGATAGAATAGCAATATTTTTTAATGTAACAAATTTCTCAGCATGAATTGTTTTAACAATTTGAACCAAAAACTTTGAAATCCAAAATGATGTAAAAACCTTTTTGCTTGATATTTACAGTGAAAGCAAAAATAAACTGATTTAATGAGACTGATTGGATTAGAAAATCAAAAAGTAAAAATTCAAATGTCATGATTATGTGAGGAAAAAAAATGTACATGAATATTTGTGGCTAATATGTGATATATATTTGTATATTAAGATAATGATAAATTAGTCAATAGTACGACTAAAACTTAACAAATGCATGGTGATTTATGGGACATAAATATTTTAATCATTTCAAAACAAAAACTGTTGTGTCATTAAAACCCTATACATGTTTTCAGACCAAACTTTAAATCCATAATGATGTATACACATTTTTGCTTGATATTTTCCATGATGGCAAAAACAAACTGATTTAATGAGACTGATTGGATTTAAAATTGGAAATTGCGTAAAGAATAAAGTTTGGGGTGGGGGTACTTATATATATGCAATGTATCAATAAAAATAATCAGATACCAATTTCAACATTGAAATCGATTTGATTATGGTGTATCAAGCTTGTGCTATTTGATTTTAACCGACTGAGCATATTTATTCTGGCATGATATAATTTACTTTCTTTAGTAACTGTTATGTAAATACATACAAGAAAGAACATCTGCAAAATAGTAAAGTTTACATTATCGACGAAAAGATTCTCGGAACCACATCATTGTTGATAGAACAGTCACATTTATTAACCTATTCACCCCTACATATCTAAACTGGACTTGCCCAGTCTTTGATATGGTAAGGTTCAAGTGTGACTTTAGGGGTGAATGGGTTAACCTATTTAACGACATGAACTGTTTTGACTCCATTGTATACTATGTACTCATATTTCGCTTGTTTTGAAATCCAGAATGATGTATACACTTGTTTGCTTGATAGTTTCTGTGAAAGCAAAAATAAACTGATTTAATGAGACTGATTGGATTTGAAAACATATAACTTGTTCAAAAATGGCATAATAAGAGGTATTAGGCATATACAAAATCTTTATATTCCCAAGTATATATAATATTTACATGTGCAGTGTTTATTGAATTGGTGCTATAAAATAGCCATATGCTGACCCTTAAACTTTGTAATATACTTTCATTGGAAGAAATGACCAGGAAAACATTAAATTGGGCGTATTTGTAACATTAATACAGAAAATCAACTATGAATTGATATTACGAGGAACAAAAACACAGCCAATGAATCCCATCTTCACCTTTCAAATCTCTGAAATCCAAAGTGATGTATACCAATTTGCTTGATGTTTTCTATGAAAGCAAAAATTAACTGATTTAATGAGACTGATTGGATTTAAAATTGGAAATTACCTTAAGGATAAGGATGGGGGTTATTATACATACATAGGGGAGACATAGAATTTACTCCCTGCTATACAATGTATCAATAAAGATAATCAGATACCAATTTCAACATTAAAAAATAGATTTGATTATGGTGTATCAAGCATATTTATTCTGGCATGATATAATTTACTTTCTTTAGTAACTGTTATGTAAATACATACAAGAACGAACATCTGCAAAATAGTCAAGTTTACATTATCGATGAAAATATTCTCGGAACCACATCATTGTTGATAGAACAGTCACATTTATTAACCTATTCACCCCTACATATCTAAACTGGACTTGCCCAGTCTTTGATATGGTAAGGCTCAAGTGTGACTTTAGGGGTGAATGGGTTAACCTATTTAACGACATGAACTGTTTTGACTCCATTTTATACTATGTACTTATATTTCGCTTGTTTTGAAATCCAGAATGATGTATAAACTTTTTTGCTTGATATTTTCTGTGAAAGCAAAAATAAACTGATTTAATGAGACTGATTGGATTTGAAAACATAACTTGTTCAAAAATATTAAGTTTTGGCATAATAAGAGGTTTTAGACATATACAACATCTTTATATTCCCAAGTATATATATACATGTGCAGTGTTTATTAAATTGGAGGCACGTCCTTAAATGACCTCAGCTGTTAATTGGATGATAAACAAAATTAAACCAAACCAACCCATTGTGCTATAAAATAATCATATGTAGACCCTTAAACCTTGTAATATACTTTCATTGGAAGAAATGACCAGGAAAACATTAAATTGGGCGTATTTGTAACATTAATACAGAAAATCAACTAAGAACTTTATATTACGAGGAACAAAAACACAGCCAATGAATCCTATCTTCACCTTTCAAATCTCGGAAATCCAAAGTGATGTATACCAATTTGCTTGATGTTTTCTATGAAAGCAAAAATAAACTGATTTAATGAGACTGATTGGATTCGGATTTGAAAATTTCAAAAGTGCACAATTACTTCTGGGATATTCCCTACATTAATTAATTAAAAAATATTATAATTCATTGTATACTACGTACTTATATTTAGCTTGTTTCAAAATCCAGAATGATGTATAAACTTGTTTGCTTGATATTTTCTGTGAAAGCAAAAATAAACTGATTTAATGAGACTGATTGGATTTGAAAACATATAACTTGTTCAAAAATATTAAGTTTTGGCATAATAAGAGGTGTTAGATATATACAAATATACAACATCTTTATATTCCCAAGTTTATATATAAATGTGCAGTGTTTATTTAATTTGTAAAAATAACCATATGCTGACCCCTAACCCTTGTTATATACTTTCATTGGAAGAAATGACCAGGAAAACATTAAATTGGGGTGTATTTGCAACATTAATACAGAAAATCAACTAAGAACTCTATATAACGAGGAACAAAAACACAGCTAACACATCCTATCTTAATGTAACCTTTCAAATCTCGGAAATCCAAAGTGATGTATACCATTTTGCTTGATGTTTTCTATGAAAGCAAAAATAACTGATTTAATGAGACTGATTGGATTTGGATTTTTAAGTTTCAAAAGTGCACAATTAGTTCTGGGATATTCCCTACATTATAATTCATTGTATACTACTTATATTTAGCTTGTTTTGAAATCCAGAATGATGTATAAACTTGTTTGCTTGATATTTTCTGTGAAAGCAAAAATAAACTGATTTAATGAGACTGATTGGATTTGAAAACATATAAATTGTTTAAAAATATTAAGTTTTGGCATAATAAGAGGTGTTAGCTTATACAACATTTTTATGTTCCCAAGTATATTTTATATACATCACCACGTGCAGTGTTTATTGAATTGGTGCTATAAAATAGCCATATGCTGACCCTTAAACTTTGTAATATACTTTCATTGGAAGAAATGACCAGGAAAACATTAAATTGGGCGTGTTTGCAACATCAATACCGAAAATCAACTATGAACTTGATAACGAGGAACAAAAACGTGTAGCCAATGCATCCCATCTTTGCCTAAATTTCAAATCTCTGAAATCCAAAGTGATGTATACCATTTTGCTTGATGTTTTCTATGAAAGCAAAAATAAACTGATTTAATGAGACTGATTGGATTTCAATTTGGAAATTTTGATAGTGCACAATCTGTTCTGGGATATTCCCTACATTTTAATTCAGGGGTGTAAAAAATCCACTGGCCTGATGACTGGCTACGTACCAGATTATCAGCTTGATTGGGCTAGTGAATTTTAGAGGTTTGTGCCGTTTTTTGGATTTCATAACTAAGATGTTTCTGGTCTATAATGATGAGGGTAACCAATTAACATTTTTACCCTGTAAATTCCTGGTAATTTTCTCAACAATATTCTATTGGAACACATAGGAGTCATTCACGCCCTATCGATGATGCAAGATGGTCTGTTGCCTTTCACACGTGTGTTATTTGTCATAGTAGGCAACTAAAAAGCGTTGAAAGTCTATACCATCCACCAAATGGCCATCTTTTGTCGCAAATCATTCTTTTTTATTTGACTTCAGCATGTGGGGTATAGAAATAAAGTTCATCTCTCCAAAAGTCGGCAAGTCCGCCATGTTTGTTTTTGATAATTTCTAATACTGAAACCGGTATCGGCAAAAAGAAGTCAACTGCATGATTGTAAAATTAGACTTAGACAGCAGAATCAGAGGTTTCTGGTGTTAAAATTAGACTTAGACAGCAGAATCAGAGGTTTCTGATGTTAAAATTACACTCAGACAGCAGAATCAGAGGTTTCTGATGTTAAAACTAGACTCAGACAGCAGAATCAGAGGTTTCTGATGTTAAAATTAGACTTAGACAGCAGCAGAATCAGAGGTTTCTGATATTAAAACTAGGCTCAGACAGCAGAATCAGAGGTTTGCAGAATTAGAGGTTTCTGATGTTAAAATTAGACTTAGACAGCAGAATCAGAGGTTTCTGATATTAAAACTAGACTCAGACAGCAGAATCAGAGGTTTGCAGAATCAGAGGTTTCTGATGTTAAAATTAGACTTAGACAGCAGAATCATAGGTTTGCAGAATCAGAGGTTTCTGATATTAAAACTAGGCTCAGACAGCAGAATCAGAGGTTTCTTATGTTAAAATTAGACTTAGACAGCAGCAGAATCAGAGGTTTCTGATACTAAAATTAGACTTAGACAGCAGAATCAGAGGTTTCTGATGTTAAAACTGGACTTAGACAGCAGAATCAGAGGTTTCTGATGTTAAAATTAGACTTAGACAGCAGAATCAGAGGTTTCTGATACTAAAATTAGACTTAGACAGCAGCAGAATCGGAGGTTTCTGATGTTAAAATTAGACTTAGACAGCAGCAGAATCAGAGGTTTCTGATGTGTTTAATGTTAGACAGCAGAACCAGAGGTTTCTGATGTGTTTAATGTTAGACAGCAGAATCAGAGGTTTCTGATGTGTTTGATGTTAGACAGCAGAATCAGAGGTTTCTGATGTGTTTAATGTTAATATTGAAGGACATTAAACAAACCAAATGGTAGCCTCGCGCATTGCAATACCGGAGGCCTATATCTTTCCTGTCTGAACTTCTCTTAGTGCACTGAGTGCTGTTTATCCCTTTCATTCTCTGTGGCCTTTCATGATCTTGTTGTCTTGTAAGCAACAGGAACTTAGCAAATCAATAACTAATTAATAGGTTTAAATTAGAGATCTGGATAGCGCAAAGGCATGCAGTACATGCTCAAGCTACAAAAGATAGCTGATATATCGGCTGGAATGGGCTTCAGCTGTAATATGCTGAACATTTTGTAACTCAACCACTGAAGTGCCTGCGTCTGTGCAATGTCCCGAGTCCATGGCATCTGTCACAACTTAGTTGTTGATCATTTGTAAACACTTAAATTATTGATAAGTAGCTCTGATAATGAACTGATTGATTGATGATGTAAAACATGTTTTATCAGTGGAAAAGATCAGGTTATATCCTCATCTCTTGCACATAGTGCCAGACAAATTAGTAGAGGGCAGGCACTGTCATTTGAGAAGATTACCATTTTCATACGTGTTGCCATTATTTGGTCCGAATTGACGGTTTTTATCAATTTCTTTTACCTTTTTTTTTTACGCTTATGCCTGTCTTTGACGGGAGGTATTATGGTATGGCGGTGTCTGTTTGTCCATCCATCTGTAAGCAAAATTGCTTGTCTTCGCTCTACCAACTTTAATTTTGTTTGTATATTTATGAAACTTTGCCTATATGTAAAGAGTCAAAATATCTCAAACAAGTTCCCATTTCAGTAAGTTGACCCACGGTCAAGATCACTAAATGATGTGTAAACTACAAGCATCTGCTGGGGGTTGTTAGTTATCCTCTGAATGACAGTTCTAAGGGTTTTTCTGAAAACAAACACCCCAAAACAAAACTAGCTGCAGCAGGTATTGTGATTTAGCTGCTGGTAATCGGTGCTAGTCCAGTTTTAACTTTTCTTAAATCTTGACATGAATAAATATTCCTAGATGTGTCAACTTGGAAATTCCTCTGAATTTGTGCAGTATCTCACGTGTGCAACCGAAGCGTGTACACATTCACACATTAAATTCCTCTGGTTTCCGCATTAACTACAGTCAGATTTCAAGTGCAAGACTGATCCCATTTAATTATTTAAACACCTGCTGGTAACATTACGTGAATATAGCTACCAACAATATTACTGAAATATTTGTTGAATGCGCAAATTTAGTTCAAGTCTTGTTCATTTTGTTTTGTCGAAGAAGGCATGGTATGTAAGGTTGGTTTATTTGGCATACCAAAATTATGTAAATTTGTTGTTAAGAAATATATATAAAATATACAGTAAACCCTCAATATAATTCCCCTCATTTTATTGCTAAACCCCTTTATAATGCCAAGTTTTTGCTGGACAAATTATGGCAATATAAGGAGGTTTTTACTCAAATATTATAAAGCTTATTATATTTTTCTGGCAAATAACATATGCTTCTCCTGGAATACAGCCTTTGTGTTGATGATTTGTTAGGATGTTTCATTTCATTGGAACCATCATTATCAGAAAGCTGGCTTTGATGGTAAATGCTTCTGATTATGACAAATGTGTTTCGACAAGGGTAGGAGGCCAATGTCCTCACCAATTACTGAAAGAATGAGGTGAGTGATCACCAGTTGTGATGTGTCCATGTTTTTCTAGCCAACAACTTATTTTAAGCATGTGATGTCTTGGGGATCAAATATGATTCGAACAACGCCAATGTCGGATATTGTAGCTACTATTAAGAATTGTATCATTTAATTTACTAACCAAATGATTCACTACCCAGTTATGCAACACATGTTCTCCTATTTCCCCTAAAACTAATAAATACTAAATAAATTTAGATAACAAGGTATTAGCTGTTCCATATTGCCCTAAACACCTAAATGAATATCGACACCTTGAAAACGTAATTCAAATCCTATAGAAATTTAATTTTACAATAGGGCATAGAAATTAACATACTTGGTGTGATTGTAAATGGATTCTGATTGTGACCAAGGCAACTGGTCCAGTCGGCTTACCTGTGAGCATATATCCCATAAACCCTACAAATTTACAGAGGGCTTACCTGTGAGCATATATCCCATAAACCCTACAAATTTACAGAGGGCTTACCTGTGAGCATATATCCCATAAACCCTACAAATTTACAGAGGGATTCCTCCATGTACCAGCCATCCACAGTGAAGGTGTAGATGTTGAAGGGTAGGACACAACACACGAAGATTAAATCAGAGATGCTGAGGTTGATGATGAAGTAGTTAGAGACAGTCTGAAGCTTTTTAGTAGTCTTAACTACGACAATCACCATCACATTTCCTGTAAATATAATGAAATCATGTTCAGTGTTCTCCCCAGGCTGTTTTTGCAGCATGGCACCATGTTCCTATAATTTCTTGCCATGCTGCTATCCTAGATCTTCTCTGCTATATATTCATAGTAAATCTAAAGCTACCATGCTGCTTTGATTTTACATGGAGTGCTGCTTAAACAGAAATATTGAAATACCCTGCTTCTTTCAAAACATGTTTAAAGGTCAGTGCTAAATTAAGACTATTGGTGTTCAATTGAAAAAAATCCAAATGGCACCTGATATGATATGGGAGAGGATTTAATATAAGCTCTAAGCTCTTTTTTCCTGTCTTTCTTAAATCACAGGTATGTCATCAATATGTTTGATTAATTGATAAAATACTTTTTCAACTAGTGTTAACTAACTTCAGACGTGTATATAAAGTATGGCATTGTTTAACTGTTGGAAAATTGTATCACAATGAAGAAGAAAAATTAATAATCAACTGAACAAAATATCAGGTGAATGTTTATATTATTTCAAATAAAATTCACATGATAGATGTTTACAAAAAGTTCTACAGAAGGTGGAGCAAAAAGTGACTGAAAACAGTTGAATACTATTACGAAACATCATTCCACAGAAGTTTCCAGAAGATATTAATAACACAAAAAGATATGATGAAATATATGTAAGGAACTATGGTGTTAGCTTACCTACAAATCCCATAAAGATGATAACACAGATGATAGCAATGACTACCCACAGGTGGATGTTGGAGTCGTGGGGCTGGTCAACACTGACCAAATCCCCTACCTCCGCAGACTGGTTGGACATGTCCCCAAGGTCAGCACTTCCCCGTCCTCAGAAGATGAGCGAGTTCACTTCCTTGAAATTACATCATAAATAAATCTTAATCCAAAGTGAAGCACAGCCAAAGAGAAGTACAGAATCCAAAATGTTTCATCTGTCAAAAGAATATTTCTGTCAACAAATGTATTTCAAATTGTAAATTCCTGTTTTATTCCATGTGGACATTCCAATTTCATTCCATGTTCACTGTCCATTACAGTATTGAAATCTTCAGTTATCTTGTAGATATCCAGTCATATATACTATTGGCTATGATGAGTATGGGTAACTAATAGTGATTGGTCTGCTGGGCCACGATCACTGCTGTTGTTGGCTTGTTCAAATTCACACTGGAGACAGCTAAGCACTGCCTTATATACTAGCCCAGTGTGTGGTTCTGTAATACATATGTAGTACTGACATGTTCCTATCTACAGCTTCTAATGGTGAAGTTTTAGAATCTGTTATAACTTTCAGTATATAATGTCTATCGGTCTGAGATGAAATTGAATGACATCTTTAACCCATTCACCCCTTGAGTCACAATTTGAACCTTACCAAATCAAAGACTGGGCAAGTCCAGTTTAAATATGTAGGGATGAATTAGATTATATTCTGTTTTGGCAGCTGCAATGGTGTTGGAGTAATGACTGCCAGGACGACATAGGATTGCGCGGTATGGCCGGTCTACGACATATTCTCAAAAGAGCTACCGGTCACACTCTCGCCAAACAAACGTTCCTAATAACTTTTACTTACAGAGCCATTATATAAAGGGTATATCAATCACCAACATTAAGAGCTACTAATGGTAATTTCCTTTATCTTATACCCGTGTACTTGTGATTTGTGCTGGAGTTATCTTTCTTGGAAATCTTTCAAATGCATATCTTGATTCATCCTCGCTAACCAAGTGTTCGCTTCGTATACACTACACTGCCACCTAGCGGATATACTGAGTTATCGTTCTTCTCCTAGTAAACTTTTAACTAATCAGAATGACTGTTACATATACACTCCATCGGCGTGTTGACATAAACACGTGTATGTCAAGGCGGAGTATAAATGACAGAGCAATATGGAAACAATCCAAAGGCAGCACACATATTTTCCCAGGTCATCATTTACATGTGGCACATAGTCAAAGATTTCCACCAACTGATTTAACAATAGAAGTTTCCAAAAAGATCGTACGCCTATTTTCTTGGGGCAAAACACTCTGACATAAACGAAAACGTGCTTCCGTACAGGGCGTCGCCATTAATGTTTCCCTTCGCCAACAGCGCTATATGTAAGACGCAATTTCATTGTATGCGAGCGATTGGCACCGCACGAAAATTTGAAGGCTCGGTAAACACACGGCTATATTCGCCAAGGGTAAGTGTAGTGTGTATGTGCGATCAAAATCTCATCATGCCCTTTAATCACCATTATTTAGTTGTTTGTTTTACAGGACCATAATGAAAAGGACATTTCAAATTGAATAATCCCTAATAATGATAACATCAAGACAGAAACTTTATTGACAGAAATATTTTACACAGAATCCAAAAGATTTTTTTTTTTTTTATTTGATCCAATTTCTCATGATTATTTTATTTCAATATTAAAGTTGTACATTTTTTTCTTGCAACTATTTCTACAAGGCCATTAATTATCATGAACATGGCATCATCTTCATGAGAACTTGATGAAATTTGATCAGATTTTCTATGTAGGATTTCACCTGACCAGATGATGGAATTTAATAAGATTTTCTATGTAGGATTGTACCTGACCAAATGCAAGCCACTGTTAAAAGCTATCAAAGGTTCAAAACCCTTTGTGATCTATACAGAGAGAAAGAGAAATTAGAAATCAATACCTCTTAACAGTAAAACTATTAATTATTTAGCTCCGCAAGTTAGTGGGGGTATCATGATCATTGAAAAGCAGATCAATTGTTTCATTTTATTTTGCCAATCTTGGAACAACATGTTTACCAGAAGTAAATGATTTGTATGTTGAGGCCCATGCCAACTCCCTGCAGTCCATAATGTACTTACTGTAGACGACGGTAAACAGCTATGATCATGATATGCTACTCAATATAGACATGATATACCTGGTACCCATCAGTATACATGTACATGTTGTATTATAACCTATATAGGTTTTATCGACATTATATAGGTTCATATTACATATTTTGATCAGATTCGGGAAAATATTTCATTTGAACGGTAATTGATTGTGAACCCATGCATGTTGCCTGCTTAAAAGCATAAACCTACTTTTTTTCCTTACTGCCAAACCTATGGTATAACTAAAAATCAATTGTGGGAAATCTTGAAACAAACCTGAAAATCAATGCCAGGGGTGTTAAAAGAATTTTTAAGTCATTTGCTCAGGGCAAGTAGACACCAAAAATCCACTCGGACAAACTTTTTATCATTAAATATGATTTATTTTTATAATGAGTTTAATCCGTTTACAGTTTTAAAATAGCTTGATAGAATGTGCATACATTGTAAAATGTTATTTGTTTCCTTTGAATTTCTAACAGGAAATTCATTGCTATACTGAACACAAGTACATTTCTGCGCACACCTGTCTATGCACACACAGTGTTAGTCTTTTTACATAATCTTTCATGAGATTATCAGTCGTTCTTATCTGGAGATGAAAGCTATAAATTGTAAGATGTGGTAGATATAACCACAGAATTAGCGATAATATCCTAGGATACAAAACAATGGCCGTCGTGTGATTCTCATCAATAGCATAAGAGTTATTCCCCCTGCACCATCTATTGGGTAATACCCATGGACTGTAAACATGTGATGTCACCGAACGTCCAACAGTTCTCGATGCATTTAAAATCTATTTTGAATAATAAAATCAGCAAAACAAGACGTTATTATTCATAAACATAGCACAAAACAGAAGTTACTTTTGTAACAACAGATGAAGACTAAAAAACATACTTGCCCATGGGCAAGTCAGTCAACTAATTGCCCTTTCCCGGATCTGAAAACCAGTTGTCCCAGGCATTGGGCAAAGTCGGTCAACTAATTGCCCTTTCCCGGATCTGAAAACCAGTTGTCCCAGGCATTGGGCAAGTAGATTTTTACACCCCTGAATGAATCGGATGATATTCACAATCAGTGGGAGTTATTGCCCTTACTGGAAGCATTTTTAGGTCACCTGAGCTTTAGCTCAAGTGACCTATTGCTATCCGTTTTCGTCCGTCGTCGTCCGTCGTCCGTCGTCCGTCGTCCATCGTCCGTCGTCCGTCGTCCGTTAACATTTTACATTTCAAACTTAAAGTCAAGTTCTGCTGGGCCGATTGAACTGAAAGTTGGTAGGAATGATCGCCTCATGGTCCTGACAAAGTGTTGTTATTTTTCGGGTCGATCAGAAATCCAATATGGCCGCCACGGCCGCCATTTTGAAAACCTATTTCAAACTTAAAGTCAAGTTCTGCTGGACCGATTGAACTGAAAGTTGGTAGGAATGATCGCCTCATGGTCCTGACAAAGTGTTGTTATTTTTCGGGTCGATCAGAAATCCAATATGGCCGCCACGGCCGCCATTTTGAAAACCTATTTCAAACTTAAAGTCAAGTTCTGCTGGACCGATTGAACTGAAAGTTGGTAGGAATGATCGCCTCATGGTCCTGACAAAGTGTTGTTATTTTT